GGCGCCCCAGTGCAGAGGTCGACCCGGTTGACGCGGGAGCCAGGTGCACGTCGAGACGCACCCACGACGCTGGGCCAGAGATTGCAGATGAGACGAACTAGGGATGGGGCGAGTGCAGAAATGATGCGAACGATGTCATCGATGGGCAGAGCGTGTGGACGCTGGGTGATCGAAAAGCTGTAAACTGGCAGAGAGGACGGAGGGGCGCAAGCTTAGCGTCGGGCGCGAGGCAAAAACGGCATGCCACTACTGCCTGTTCTCATAGGAGGGTTCAATCACAGTGGGGAAACCATATGTTGCATGCTGATCGAGGAGGATTTGGGGGTTTGGGCGGGAAAGCAGCATCCGCAGTTGAGCTGGTGAGCTGACGTGCAGGGTTGAGCAGAGGTGGGGATCGTGGTCGGATCTGGTTGACAAGCGGGCGCTCTCGTATGGGAGGGAAGAGAGGCGAGGGATCGAGGAAAGGTGTGAATCGATTCAGATGTCAGGATGGTCGAGATAAGAAAGGCAGGGAGACGGAGGGAGGAAGAGTCGACGGAATCCCCAAGTGGTGAGTGAGTTGGAGATGGTGGTGGAACTGGAGTTGCGGGAAGAGGGAGCACTGACCTTTTTACTAACCATTCATAGCCCACTATGTACGAAATAACTCGTTCGGATTTTCTCAACTGCCACCCATTATGATTATGTTAATGTGATGGATTCGGAATTAATCCTGGAAAAGTAACATGACAAAATATAGATATATATGAGTATACAGGTGTGGTGTTTAGTGTATTCGGCCAGAGATCTACGGATATCTTCAATTTCAAAGACAGGATTGAAATGGAGAGCTTGGACCAGTCACGGGAACGAATAGGAGCTGGGATCTTAGTTCCTCTAGATAACAGGGTAACAGACTGATAATAATAAGAATCTCCTATACTCCTATCCCACCGTCCCTACAGCTTCCGGCGCGTGCTCAAATACTTCCATCGCCGGGTCCACCAGCCTGCCATCCTCCAGCATCTCCGTCCACAACTCGTCCTTGAACGCTTGACCCGTGTCCTTATCCAGAAATGGCGAGTAACCCTCCATCTGGCCACCCATCGGCAGGAATTGCCCATGACTCTCGGCACCAACCACCACCGCCGCGTGGACAATCCTCTCGCCACCCACTTGCATCGGCACAGCCTTGAACTTGACGTAGAAATAGATGAACAGCTGCATCCACGCCGGCAGACGCGACATGATTTTCGTACTCACTACCCCGGGACAGACGCTATTCACGATGACCTCGGACGCAGGTTGCTGCTTGGCGAGCCGCTGCACGAACGCGATGAGTGTCAACTTGCTGTTGGGGTACCGCCGCACGCCACGGGTGAGGGTGTTGCTGTCGAAATAGTCCAGTACCTTGCAACCAGGGGGGATTGGCGTGCGCTCTAGATCGTGAATGGCGTGGCTGTATGAGGCTAGGAATGTCACTCGCGTGGGAGAGCCCCGTTTGGCGGCGGTGGCTCGGAGCAGACCTAGGAGTTCTAGGACGATGAAGAAGTGCGTGTAACAGTTGACTAGTTGGGAACATGGTCAAAAAAAAGCTGGAAAAGAAGGTTGGATTCATCTCCCACCTTGCATCACCCGCTCATGGCCGCTTTTGCTAATCTCATAATCAAAGGTGGTGGTGCCGCCATTGCACAGCAGGAGATCCAGCTCGGGGACTTGCTTCTTGACTTGCTGGCAGAAGCGCAGGCCAGACTGGTAGTCGTCTAGATCGAGGTCGAAGAATTCGATCTGGGCTGCCGGGTTCGCGCTTTGGATATCTGCATCCGCCCGTAATGCGGCAACGGCAGCTGCGCCTTTGGCTTGCGAGCGGGCGGTGATGATGACTCGCGCAGCTTGCAGGTGCAGTGTTTGACGGGCAACCTCGAACCCAAGCCCTGTGTTGCCGCCGGTGATAATGACCGTTTTCCCGGCCAGACTGGGGGAGGGTGGAATTGGATCGGGCATGGCTGAGGGGAAAGTAGGTCTGCGCGATGTGAGGGAGAATGAAGGGTCAGCCTGCGTAGCCTGCTTACTCGAGCCGTCTACTAAACTTATGCTATACGACCGGGATCACGGAGACTACTCTAGCTGACTTGTCCCGATGGAATCTGGCCCCCATGCACCATCAGGACTAGTAACCCGAGTGCATAGTAACCCCGAGTGGGACCCTAGACTCGTGCTGGAATGCCCTAACCAATCAACATTCCTCGATCCCATTCTTGAGATCGGTCGTCCATGTGGCATTATGTACTCGGAGATTTAGGATTGGACGTTGAGTAACGGTGGATCGGGATGAAGGGGAGTTGGTGGGATGGAACAATGACATTGGAGTCTTTGTTGGCAGTGTCGCAACAATGAAATCGACTAAATCCGTGCGACCGGGCAATTTCTTTGCTTTTCTTTCCTATGCTATTTTACTGCTCCGTAGGTATCATCTAGCTTAGTTCCTAGCACGTTGTTGTCGTCGCCAGCCGTTGTGGATCGCAGTCGAAACGGGGAGGCTGGGGGTGGATCTAGCCCGGCCACCATCTTTTTGTGGACCACCCTTGTACTTCGAGGCAGAGATGAGATGGAAAGAATACACCAAATATCCCAGATGCCAATGGCACGCGGCCATTGTGCAACGGACAGGCCAGCCGTCTTGTTCCCTCGGTATCTGCCTAGGGACTGCCCCGGTCGCAAAAGGTGGGATGGGATGGAAGGATCCACGATCTGCCCGATTAGGCAGGGGCCATGGAAATTGTCGAGGCTGGCAGTTGCCCTGACGTGACTGGGCTGGACCTTTATTTACCTGTGGCTCTTGCTTTTTTCTTTTTCCTTCTTCACATCTCTTCCTCCCTCCATTCCATCCCATATTCATCCATCCCGACTGTCCGAAAAGAGCTCACCTCATCTATATATTCGCTCAACTCCAAGACTTGACTTTGCCAACCACGCTGTGCACCATGCAGCTGGTACTTGGTGCCGCACTGGGCCTGCTGGTCTCCTCCACGTTGGTGTCCTCTCAGACTTACACCAACTGCAATCCTCTGTCGCAGAGTAAGTTCTTCGGGTCGGAGATTGAAATGCATGATGAACTGACGGCTCACACAGCCTGCCCTGCTGATCCTGCACTGGGAAAGGCCGACCAAACCTTTGACTTCACTCAGGGTTCCCCTTCTGACTTTACGGCCCAGGGTAACGTCGAGTTCGACAGCACCAATGGCGCCACCTTCACCATCCGTCAGGCGGGCGATGGCCCGTTGATCCAGTCCAACTGGTACATCATGTTTGGGCGTGTCGAGTACCAGATCAAGGCGGCCTCGGGACGGGGTATTGTCAGCAGTGCGGTGATGCAGTCCGATGATCTGGACGAAATCGACTGGGAATGGCTGGGCGTCAACAATGCTCAGGTGCAGACCAACTACTTCGGCAAGGGAGACACGAGCTCCTACAACCGCGGCGCATTTCATGACAATGCTGGAAACCAGGACGGTTACCACACCTACGCTGTTGACTGGACGAGTGAACAGATCGTCTGGTCCATTGATGGCCAAACCATTCGCGTTCTCACCCCGGCCACGGCGGATCCCGGCCAGTACCCCCAGACCCCGATGATGGTCAAGGTTGGCGTGTGGGCTGGTGGCGACCCCAGCAATGCCCCCGGGACGATCGGTATGTTTTTCTTTGCCCCTTTCTGTTATGTCTATTCTAACAGGTTTGGTAGCTTGGGCTGGTGGCGAGACGGACTACAGTCAAGGTCCATTCACGATGTACATGAAGTGGCTGAAGGTGACCGATTACTCCAGCGGAACGTCGTACAGCTACAGCGACAAGAGCGGCTCGTGGGAGTCTATCACGGCGGACGGCGGCCAAGTCAATGGCAACAGTGCCTCAGAGCCCAAATCGACCCAGTCGGCGCCCACCGTGACCGAGACCGTCGCCAGTGTGCCGATTCCATGGAGCGGAACGCACAAGGAGACCGCCAGCTTTGTTACCCCCGACGTCTGGCCATTTGTAACCACCGGCGCGCCCTCGGGATCCTCCTATCCCTCCGGCTGGCCCAATGGCTCCGGACACGTCAAACCGCCTGGACGGGGTTCAGTGAGTGAGCACTTCCCTGCACCTTCCACTCCCTACCATATCTCGGACTCGATAACTAAGACGATTCCTCCTCTATTGCAGTCTACGCCCCTCTTCTCGTCACCGTCCTTGCCTTCGGCATCGGCTGTCTCTTCCCACTCCGTGCATGAGACTTCGCACAGAAAAACGACCCGAATTTTGACCACCAGCACCTCCTCAAAAACCACGACCACACACACGACCAAGACTACTTTATCCACAACCAGCAGTGTTTCCCCGTTGGCCACCAATACAACTGCTCCTTCTGTGAATGATGCGAGTGTCCTCAGTCTGCAGGCAACTCTTGCTGTTTCATGGGTGCTTCTTGGTGGTATTCTGGTCATGCTGTGAGGAAGACGATACTTCCTTGTATTATTATTTACGATTAGATGGGCAGGGCACGGCGCTGATCAATTGCTTTTTTTTATGACATTGTGCTCCAGCTGACGACGCATGAGCACTGATTTTCGACTTCACGACTATACAGGCTGCGGCATAATGGCGTTTACGGCTTTTCTTGTTCATTCTTTATTCTTATGCAGAGCGGTTCGTTACTGGCATCATGTACTTATTCTCATTGCAGACGTCCACAGAAAACTAGACTGTATAAAATACACACATGAGATGTCACCGCTCCCAAGCCATATATATCTAATCGAATACCCGACAGAAGTCCATGGATAAATTGAATCTCTGGACAGGAAGTGTGTTCCGTCCTGACCTCACCATGAAGTAGCCCAACAACCCATGGAATGATGCACGGCCGAATCACCCAGTACTGACCTGTCTACTTAGACAGACTGATGATCATTCAGTAATGCCCTCGTCGAGCGCTGTCTGATACATAGTTTATCTCTGAGATCCGCGCCGTCCTGTTTGAGATGCTATCCGCCTCCGCACGCGTGTTCCTCATCCGACACGGAGAGACTGACTGGACCGTCGGCGGGAAACACACCAGCGCCACTGATGTCCCGCTGTCGAAAGCTGGGGAGCGCGATGCTGAGACTCTGAAGGAGTTGGTTGTTGGTGAAGGGAAGCTGATTGATCCGAAGACGGTGGCGAAGATGTATGTTATGGTCACCTTCCAATCCTCCCCAATCCCTACCATGAACCCCGGCACCCATTCACTACATGTACTGTACAAATGCTAACATCTACCTACGCACGATGAAAAGCTACTGCTCCCCCCGCTCCTCAGCCCGGCGCACAGTCGAGATCCTCGGCCTGGGCGTCCACAACCACCAGGACTTCTTCAACCGCGAGACCCAGTCGACGAGTAGCACGCAGTTGAAAGATAAGAGTCTGGACCCAAACATTCAGCTTACGCCGTGGCTCAAGGAATGGGATTATGGCGAGTACGAGGGCAAGACGCTGTTGGATATTCACAGTCTGCGCACGAAGCAGGGCATGTCTGAGGAGCGAGCCCCGTGGAATATTTGGACTGATGGGTGCCCCGGTGGAGAGTATGTCCTGTCTTTTCTCTCTTTCTTTATCGGTTTTCTTCTCATCATCGTTATTTTCAAATATGTCTCTCCCTTTTCGGGGAGAAGGCAATGCTAACCATGTCGCGGTAGATCCCCCAACCGCATCGCCGAACGCGTCGACGAGCTCATCGCTGAAATCAAATCCATGATCGCGGGCGAATCGGCTAGCTGGCCGAGCGGCCAGCTCGCCGGTGGGCGGAGCCGCCTGGCGCAGGATATTGTCTGCGTGGCGCATGGGCATGTGCTCTCGGCGTTGGCGCTGAGGTGGGTTGGGGCGCCGGTGAGCCAAGGGGTGATGAGGTTGATTTTTGAGCCGGGGGGTGTGGCTGTCCTGGGGTATGTATGCTTCTATCTCTCTTTGTGTGGCTGTGTGCGTGTTTGCTGGTTGCGGCGGTCGTGGTTTGGATTGTAATACTGATATGTGGCACTAGGTTCGAGGAAGATAATTTGGATCAACCGGCTATTGTGCTTGGAAGGAGGCCGGGGCGGTCGGACCGGACGCTGTAATGACAGTTGAAGCTGATGGGGAGGGCAAATGGCCTTGTTTATGCAGGGTGGATGATGCTGGAAGTGAAAAATAACATTTGATTCATTTAGCAACAACTCTTCTTCCTACGTGTATATCGGATTATGCCTGGTACTTTCTGGCTTGATCTTTCTGTTTCAGTGCTCACATTGAGTGAGAGCAATACGGGCAGGTTAAACAGGGTGTTTACACGGTTGAAGCCTCACTATTCCGTCAAACCGTATATCGAATTTGTGAAACAAATCAAAAAGCGAAATGATTTCACATAATTCTGTATGTGTATTCCAAACGTATTTTCGGAGTGTCTATCAGTCGCAAAAACAAGGACCATCAACAATCAATAAGGAAAATCACCCTCCTGTTCCTTCTCCATGATCCTGTTTTCCCGTTGTAGTCGGTCTTGCTCATCCAGATAGGGTAGCAAGATCTTGTCCCAGTGAGACTTGCCCTTGTAGAAAGATACTGTCTCATCCCAGTTCCGGATTGCCTCCGCCAAACGCCCGGGGACGTGGGGTTCCTGAGCCAATGTCGTTACTGGTTCGAAATAAGTGCGAACCGTGAACACTATTGCCTTGGATCGGGGCAACCGGCGCAAGGTTTGTCGCTCTGAGCGGAAGTGAATCTCTTCCACCGTGAGACCTTTACTATTTGCAGTGGCCCAGGCTAATTGTACCATTCTCATTAATAAACATGGCTTGGGATTCCAGAGGAGTGAGAAACTCACAGGCAACTTCGGATCCTGTCTGCTCGCCCATACGATGGGACCAGTGTAGTCCATCATCGAGTTGGATGAAGAACTAGAGCTGTTAGACTGACGTGCGTTGAACTGGTAAGGAGAGGATGACGTACATTATTTCTCTCAACAGGCTTGTCGGGCGTCAAATTTTGGAAGAACTTATTCATAGCTTTTTGTAGTTTCGCCGCATAGTGGGGGACGCCGGCTTCGAAGTGAAGAGTATCGAGCGACATGCGGAACTTTTCTTTGAGCCGCCAAAACCCCGGGAGGCACACTGCAGCCGCATCAAGGTGATATTCCCCATCTATTGTTCATTAGAACAAAAACCGGAACAAGAAGCAGGAAAAGAAATCATCATCTCACCATCGTTCTTTACCATGATCACCAGATCGTCCTGAACAAGAAGAGCTGATGTGGCAAGAGCCTCATCGGGAGTTGCTTAAGATGGTCAAAGTCAGCCGCGAACCTCTTGTAGCAGAAAAAAGGAATTCGCCCTTACTGGCAGGAAATGCAAACTCCTCGCCTGTGAGGCTGTTGTACACCTTCCCTCCTTTCAAGCGATAGATATTAGGATACCGATGCACCAAGTACCGTACCAATTCCTCATTGAGCTCAAAGCAGGCATCCCTAGTGACTGCATTATCAACGTATTTGACATGCTCTTTGAAATCTTTCTTGAGCTCTGAGGCTTTCATATCATGGTAACGGAGAAAGTAGGAGTCCATTTCAATCCAGTTATCCCAGTTCAGTTTGCGAATTCCCATGGTGATAAAATTTGGGCCATGACGGAATGGGCGATACAATTTGGGTGATGTGGAATTGGGATCAGTGGATTGAGGATTGGGAAGGGGAGTGACGAATGGCTCTTCTGCTTTCTCTTCTATTTGTTGGGGCTGTGGCTTCTGTTGTAGTGGCCACCTGATAAATAACCAGGTGAGAATCGATGCCAACAGGCCCAGAAAGGGCAGGGGATTTGACGGCAAGGGAAATTCCGTGGCAGTGACCATTTTGCCGACTTCCAAGGACAACTGTTAGATGGAGGTTGGCATTGACAAGGACTCAGATCTACAATGCAGTAGGCAGGGCAGCAGAAGTGCTCTTTAAATAGAGTATCAGCATATGGTCGCTACCCCAGGCGTCGGGCGCGCGCCTAAGTCATTTCAGGAAAGACTTTCGACCACGACACGCCACTAGCCCGACTGGGAAACATAAAAGCCCATTTGCGTGTTGGAATTCCTTATCGCGGGGATCTCTCGGCTATACCCCGACAGAATACGTGGAGTCCGCCAGACCCCCGCATCGCGGTACAGCGACCGGCTGTCATTCACTCCCTCCCATTGGATGCTTCACGCCACTGTCCAAACCTTGGCTATTCCACACTCGCCGTTCTCCATAGGCTTTCCCAAAACAGCGAACCATGGGAGAGCTGTTGTGATAGCCTTACCGCTGTCCTGTCAATTGAACCATCCCCCCCCCCCCCAACTCTAGCACTTTCCATCTTCACTTCTCCAGTCTCAGAGTACACCAAATCACAGGAATTATGACTGCAAAAAGACAACGAACAGTCCAAGGCTCCTGCTGGCCCTGTAAGCAACGACGCGTGAAATGTGACCTAGTTCGCCCCCGGTGCCGCCGTTGCATCGTGTCCGGTGCCCAATGCAGCTTCGACAAGATACTGGTACGATGGAATTCACGTCCAACCAAAGCGGCTCCAATTGCATACCAAGCCTCAAGCACATCACCCGAATCCAACCTGATTAGGCAGATTCAGGACAATCGCCTAGCGGCCGGTGAACTCAAAGCTCTTGACTACTTCCAGGCTGCCCTGTGGCCCTTGCTATCCGCTGCCACACAGCCTTGTCCGCCACCGATCTCTCTTGCCCTAGAATCCGAGCCAGTGTTGCTAGCCATGTGTGAGCTAGCAGAGGCACATCGATTGCTCCAGCAAGAAGGCGGCCCGACACATTTGCAGGCTATAAGCAACAAGAGATTGACCTGTCTATCCTCTGTTCGAAAGCAACTCCGAGAAAGTGTTTCAAATAACCAGTCCCTTTCTCAACTGCTTGTCGCCGTCCTGCTACTGTATTTTCTGGATGGTTTCATCGACTGCGCGGAGCAATCCGCTTCCACGACAAGCCACCAGGCTGGCGTGCGAGCCATTGTCGAACAACTTGGTGGATTCAACGTGGTTATAGACGAGGGCCAAAAAGATACTTCGCACATGCTTCTATCCGAGTTTGCATCTACAGATCTCACTCGCGCTATACTTGACGACAGAACTCCCTGCTTCCCCGCCCGAATCTGGCTGAACATCGAAAGAGGTATAGTGTGGTGGGAGAAACAGACATACGGGGTAACGTTGGCGGTAGTATTTCGAACAATGGCACAAATAGCCTTCTACCGGCAGTCAATTCAAGCCGGAGACGAGGAACTATCCATCGAAAAAGTACGCGAGCTTGAAAGATGTCTCCAGCCTACTTTTTCGGTGCTGAGTCTCGATCATTTCAACTGTCCGGAAGAGGAGACTCTTTCGAAATTCGAACTGGAGCGGGTCAATCAAACGATCGCATTTACCCGGGCCTTCCAGCACAGTGCTCTGATATACCTTTACCGGGCTGTTTGCGGGCTTCCGCCAAGGCATCATCTCGTTCAGCAACATGTGAACTTTTGCATGGGATGTATTAAGGCTATCAGTAGCAGTTCCAAGGCCCATAACTGTATTGTGTTTCCCGTTTATGTTGTCGGTGCCCATTCATTCACGCAGGACCACCAACAGGATATGCTTGATAAACTGGATTCCATATATCGAACGCTTCGCTTCAACTCATTGTTGAGTATTCGTGCGGCCTTGGAGGACTTATGGTCTTCTCAGAGGCAGGAGGGCGATTGGGGAGACATGTTTACTTCTCTGGGAAACCATGTTCTGGTATTATAATTCAATTATTCTTATTATTCTTTTCTTCATTTTTTATGAAATATACGAATTGGTGGACGCCGTGATGTGTTCATATGTAACTCGAAGTTAGGATTGTTCTATCTCTTCCTTCGGCCCTTTGAAATCTGGAAGCGGTTTTGTTAGTTAATTAAGAAAAGCTCAGATGATGAGAGGGAGGACTTCTTACATTTCCGACCGTGGAGCAGATACCAGCCCATACTTAGAGCGACACATCCAACAAATACGACTGATGCGTATGTCATGGACTCACTGGTAACTGGCAGCGTGACTGGCATACTGAATAGGATCACCTGGAAGATAATCCACAATATCCCCAAGACATTTGCTACTGTTCCAATGGTATAGTTTAGCTTCCAGCGAGACTGGGCCACTTCTTTCCGACCATCAACAAAAAGACTGATCGCAATGGGAATCGCGTATGCAACAGCCAATGCAATCACGCCGACTGACGCGAAGGCCGTAAAAGCACTGCTGCTTCCGAGATAGATGAGACCCAGGAGCATCTCAATGGCTGTAACCAGACAGAGCGCTGATAGTGGACTATCCCTGAAGGTGGATGACCACAGGTGCGACATTGGAATGGCATCATCTCGAGAAAATGCCCAAGTGCATCTGCCAGCTGTCGTTGTAATGCTAATAGAGCAGAACATAGCAACAAGCAGCACGAGGATCATCAAAATGATCGACGCTACGGATGATCCTGTCACAACATGAATGACATATGGCAGCGCCTGACCATAGGGCGCAGTGATGATATCTGCCAGAGGCGGAAGAGTAAAGCAGATTGGTAAGGTAAACACCAGTGCTGCCGCACCAGCGATAACAGGCACCAGGCTGATTGCTATAGGAATTTGTGTTTCAGGATCCGTGCACTCCTCTGCCATGGACGTGACCATTCCAATAGCGGAGAACGCGTAGGCTGGTGGAAGGAGCCCGATGAAAAATGTGAAATGCTGTTCCCATCCGGAGTAAGAAGGGTCATAGCCAGCAAAACCGGTATGTGCATCGTGTCGACCGTCTTTGGCGAGTACGACCATGGTGACAGCAAAGGCGATGCAAGTGATAACCGAAAATGCTGCCGAGAGGGTGTCAATGAGGGGAAGTAAATGGTCACCGAAAAAGCATATTGTGAAGGTGATAAGACAGATCGCGTAGAAGATGAGCAAAAGCTGCCAGGACGTGGCGGTCCAGTCAGGATAGAAAATTGACACGGTAGCAGCGATGAGCGACGCGATGCCAAAGTTGACCGAAAGAGAGATGGTCCAATTGCCGATGAGCCAGATCCAGCCAGTTACGAAAGATACTAGCCGTCGACTTCCGGTTGATTTGAGAAGTTTGAACGACCAATGATAGACACCAGAAGAGGTGGGATATCTTGATGCGAGTTCTGAAAGAGAAACTGCGACACAAGAATCCAATGCCAGCACAACGAGCAATCCGACAAACAGGGATAGTTGACCACCGCCGTATACAGCATTCATTAGGGAACTGCCGATGCCATATGGGATAGATGCGATTGAAAGTGACATAAACAGCATAGTGGACAACTTTCGTGTGCGACGCAGCTGGGGCGTATAACCCAGCCGATAGAGTTGCTCATCCTGGTAAGTACCCAGCTGAGCGCTCTCGACCGCGTCCAGCGAGCCGATGCTAGATTTTGATTTCTCCATCGATTGCCTTGAATAGGAATAGGCTGAAAGTATTGGACATTCCATCTATTGCTTTTGTCGGAACGTAGGTCCTGCTTTATACACCCCCATCTACTGCGCATGGTCTATGAAAAAGCTTTGCTCTAGTCCAACAAGGGAAAGCATCTGGGCCATTCAGCGGTAAAGACTAGTGCCGAGCCAAGCAGATAACCTTGAACTCTCGCCGGATAAAGGTTGCACTATCAAGCACTTCAGTTGGGCCAGTCGCCTGCTACCAAATCCTCTATTACTTTTAGGAAGATTGCGGGGAAATGCGTCTACCTGAGAAACGTTACCATGGGAGAATGGGTACCGAGTGGGCCTTAGACTTTTGGACATGGCCCAAAAACCTTCCGCATTGAGCCTAGCCTGGAGATTAACCGGTCAAACCCCCGCATGTTTCAATTCCTTCACAGCTACCAGGAAAGGCGGCTTATCGATGCTCCGACCTCGGCTTTTATTAGAGATCCATTGGGGTCTTTTCAAGCGATAGGCGGGTTCCCTGCCATTGATGTCTCATCTATCAATGCGGGTAGTATCTTGACTCGACCCTGTTAGGCGTATGTGGTAATCAGTTCGGGAATACTTAGCTATACGAAGAACTTTCACATATGGATTAACAGGCATTATTTTCACTTTGAAGACCAGTAAAACATGAAGAGCCATATAATGGATACGTTTTTGGATTGATAAATTATTGACATGACAGGACACAGCGGGCTTAAGGACGCTTCAGCAATGACCACTCCTAGTATGGGCAGTGAGCCTCGACCTCGATCTCAACCACCATCCCTTCAATCCCAAGTTTTTTGATTTCCACGCAAGTCCAAATGGGCCGATGATCGGGCAGAAGCTTCTTGAAATTGCTGGTGACCACTTCAAACGTCTCGTCCATATTGGTATGATAGCTGCGCACCGCGTACACATTCTTCCAGGAAAGACGAGGGTCGACATTTTTCAGGGCTTTTTCGACATTGTCAAACGCGACGGCGACTTGTTTCTCCACATTTGAAGTGATACTGCCATTCTCATCCCAGCCGCCTTGGCCAGAAGTTTTGACAGTGTTTCCGATGCGAGTGGCTTGCGAGTAGTGGAAAGATTCTGAGTTGGCCTCAGTTCCAGGATAGTTGAAGAAGTGCATATTTGCTTCAATGAATAGAGTATATGCGGTACTCAAGAGGACAGAAACACAATAATTGATTGGTGACACATATAGGTCAAACAAGCTATTTATGTAGTAGCTCATGGACTTTCCTAAGTTCGCCTTCCAGTTTCCAAATGGCCAGAAGACATGCCTGGTAAGGACGTGATCCTGGCCTTTGCCCCTCTAGTTGCCTAGAATATACAATAGTGCCCAGGTCTCCACGCTTCCGGCTGTAGAATACGGAGCCACACGACCAAATATCGAAGATTATATTGAGCGTTGAGGATATTGGGGGATTCCTTGTTCAAAGCGGCATCCGTTCCGACGGGTTGCGCGATGATAGCCTCAATAGGAAAGTTTCTCGGCCACCCAATGCTTGGCAGATAGGCTTCCATATTTTCCGCAAAAAATTTAGCTTCTGCATGCTTGTCCATCGTTTCTAAAAAATTTAATTTGGCTTTTCCCAACACGGTAAATAGATAGGCCATTACCCATCGACCTGCCTTCAAACCACTTTGCTTTACAATAACCCCTCGTGGGACCATTCAAGCAATCAAACTTAGTTCTCGGATAGAAAAGAATATAAATATGCCATCTCACAATAATAATATGTAAAACCGAACCTATTACTTCAAGTATTTCCATCATGGCACAGCCTATCAAGTTAACGGCCCCCAATAACACAACCTATCTGCAGCCTACTGGTAAGAAAACATTAGCCGAGAAATGGGATGTCGCTGCCCAGGGCTGATAACTTATTGCAGGACTGTTTATCAACAATGAATTCGTTCATTCTTCGTCCGGCCAAACGCTTTCGACTGTTAACCCCTTCGATGAGTCGGTGATCGCAAGCGTCTCTTCTGCAGGCCCAGAGGATATCGACCTTGCTGTCGCCGCTGCTCGGAAAGCGTTCAAGTCAAGCGAATGGCAATCTGTCACGGGTTACGATCGAGGGGTACTCCTGACCCGCTTGGCTGAGCTATGCGATCGTGACAAGCATATTCTTGCGACCATTGATGCATGGGATAATGGCAAGCCATATGAGCAGGCTCTAAACGAAGATCTTGCCGAGGTGATCTCCGTCTTCCGTTACTACGGTGGCTGGGCCGACAAAATTCACGGTCAAACCATCCCTACTAGTGATGCAAAGCTGGCCTATACCAGGCACGAGCCTATTGGAGTGTGTGGTCAGATTATTCCATGGAACTATCCTGTTATGGTGAGTTATTTGCCTCGGTCATTGCCAGAGTTTGACACAGAACAGAAACTAACTGCGCGTAGATGGCAGCATGGAAATTGGGCCCTGCGCTTGCTTGCGGGAATACAGTTGTCATCAAAGCGGCCGAACAGACGCCACTTTCAATTTTGTATCTTGCAACTTTGATTCGAGAGGCTGGCTTTCCGGCTGGTGTTGTAAATGTTGTCAATGGGCCTGGTGCAACCGCCGGAGCATCTATCGCGTCGCATCCAGGCATTGACAAGATCGCGTTCACTGGGAGTACAGTCACTGGAAAGGCAATCATGAAGGCAGCTGCTTCGAATCTGAAGACAATTACACTGGAGACGGGTGGTAAAAGCCCTTTGATTGTTTTCGAAGATGCCAATTTGGATCAAGCAGTCAAGTGGTCGCATGTTGGAATCATGAGCAACATGGGTCAGATCTGCACCTCCACATCTCGAATCTATGTCCACAACAGTGTTTACGAAGATTTCGTGGAGAAATTCAAGCAATACACAATTGAAAACTCTGTTGTTGGAAGCCAATTTGATCCTAAGGTGAATCACGGACCTCAAGTGTCAGCGGCGCAACGCGATCGGATTCTGCGTTACTTTGAAGCCGCGAAGAAAGAAGGCGCCAAACTCGTTCTTGGGGACAATCAACCGCCAAACAATGCTAAGGGTTATTTTGCCAACCCTATTATCTTCAAAGACACCGACCGCAATATGACCCCAGTCCGTGAAGAGGTCTTCGGACCTTTTGTCGTAATTCAGTCTTTCGACAGTCAGAAAGATGCCATTGACATGGCCAACGACACAGAATACGGACTGGGCGCCGCAATTTTCACAGAGAACATCACCCGTGCCCACACAGTCGCAGCTGTGATTGAGGCTGGGATGGTTTGGGTAAGTACCTTCAGGTCTCATTTGTATAAATGCCAGGAATTCTGACAATCAACAGATAAACAGTTCTCAAGACTCTCACTTTGCAATTCCATTCGGCGGCTATAAACAAAGTGGCATTGGACGAGAGTTGGGCGAGTATGCCCTTTCAGCGTATACTCAAGTCAAGGCAGTGCATGGTCAGCTCATTGTGTCTTCCCACAATATTGTTTGGTACAAGATTTGCTAATATCAATATAGTCAACCTCGGAACCTGGCTCTAGATATAGGGTTATAGGGACCTATGCACCCTTGGTTTGGATTCGAGTTGGGACCCATTCAGTAGTAAAACAATTTCTCAAATACATTTGAAATTCCATTAAATATCCAAAGCCAGCTTTATTCTATGTTCAACTACCTGTCTGATGATATGCCAGGAAACTAAGCCTGATTATTGGACTGCTGCTGAATTAATCCCGGCAGGAGAATTCAAGACGCAGAAAATCTTCTCTCTTCCTCTCTCAAGTCCTAAGCCCGTTGTACTAAGCTCTTAAGCTTGCTTGAAACTTGTGAAGTCGTTATTGTAGTGCGGTTTGAAGCCAGTCTCCGCCTACTTGAAAAATGACCTCCCCGTTTCAGGAACATATACCATTGCAAGTGAAGGTCAATTGAAAACATCAACTCAGGTCTGGCAGTGTAGCGAAATGAGCTACGGTGGTCACTGGCTGAACCATCAAAGGTTGACTTGCTCACTTGCAAGCGTGCTGGTCTTTTGCATGCTGGGGGTAAATCCTCTTGTTGAGTTTCTTTTCTTCTTATTGCTTCTACTCCCGCTTCTCCCCTCAGTATACGAAAGTTCTTGATACTTGGTTCTTAATATTCATTGTCCTAGTCCATGTTTACTGTAATTACTGTCCAATCAAATCGGATGTCACATATCAAGTGTCCTTGCTACACATCAATGGTCCGGCCCGGACAAGAAGCAGCCAGTGGCCATTCTGGGTTCAAAAAGTGGTACTTGTCCACATCCAGTTGATCTGCCAGCTGCAAGCCGCCGCTACTATGTCCCTCCTGAAGCTGTCTGGCGAGGTTGTTGTCTTCGACACCGATGTCGGCCCTAATATTTCACCTTGTCAACAAGACATGACACAGGACATGGCTTTGTATCACCCACATGGAAACCTTCGTCTTCACAGCTGGCTCAGTCAGGATCTTCTTCCAACTCCCATGACATCTAGCTATCAGAGACAGGGCAAAACTATAACTTATCAGTCCGATGCTGCCATCATGTTTCGCAAAAACTCACTCTCTTCCCTTTAACTCCCCATTCATAGCAATCTCATTCTTCCCCTTCCCCTCCGGCACTTTGTATAATCGAAACCACTCCTGCATAGTCGCAAGATACCCAGGCATGTGTGTCTCGACCTCACTGATGTCATTTAATCGACCGGCCAAGGGATTATTCGCGTCCACGACGACAATCTTCCAGTCCGTCTCGCCTTCGTCAATAACTGCAAACGTGCCAAGTACTTTTACGCGTTTGATGGCACCAACTGTTTCGATTTCGCCGGCGAGTTCGCACACGTCTAGCGGGTCGGCGTCACCGCGGCGACCGGTGTGAGGGTCTGTGATGTTCGGGTCTTCCCATGTCTAACAGTTCGAATATTTAGCAGAATAATCAAGATCCCGTGAGGTTTGGCGCTATACCTGCGGCAAAGAGCCGTAGTTCCATGGATACCCCTTATGCGGAAAGATGTTCGGGACGTAGCGGGGCTTGTCATTTTTGATATCCTGGTGGATGGGAGTCAGGAACTCGTCTTTGGCGATCTGGATAGTGTCCACAGAATTAGCACTGTCGATCAATCTATACGCTTCTGCAGGGGCGACATCTCCGGTGCAGATAGGTAAACGAAGAGTCGTCGATCCGTATCCACTCTTATACTGCACATCAACATCGTGACCCACCTCCATCTTGACGTTGCTCCACCGTGGGATCTCCACAACCATGTTCACCACGTGCGGTTCATTCTCCGATGGGAATAAGGGGATCTCGTGCCAGGGGGACACAATATTGTCGCCCGCTGTTATATATACGCGAAAGTCCTCGGTGCAGGGCTCGCCGGTTTTGCGAACGGTATACTTGGCTTCTGGGCTGGGGGACATTTTGGCTTGAAACAGTGGACGGTTGGTAGATTAGATTTGGTGATGCGCGCAACTGAGAGAGAAAATTGTACGCGTTTCTTCCATTTGGGTGAGGTTCTTCGTCTCCGGGTCATCGTCACCATGACGTTAGGGCTGGATTTGGTGTTGAGGCTCATTTCTTGAGCACAGAGAGTGTCAAAGTATTGGGATAGTACAAAATTCACCGTTCTTCATGAGAGGCGTCTATTGCAGTACTATATCAAAGGATGTCCAGCTCTATCCCCTCAGTGTACTAGCTAAGATCAACCAAACCTATCTAGGTAAACGCCCAAGGTAACACAACCCCCGTTACATACATCCCCGATCAGCAGAAACCAACCCAGTCATGTGCCTGGTGTTCGCGTGTTGTGGAAGAGTTATCACGACCCCATGCAGTCCGAATAAAGAGTCGTCCTGCCATGCAATGTATTTGGCGATGGCCCAGAGTCAAACGCAGTGTGATATGAGTCTGCAGGATGACATGGCAACACGACAAACCAAAACCCATCCATGAGCTGTTACTCGCCATTCTTCAAGATATGCGCTGAGTCGCAAATGGAATCTGGTCTCGAGGAGCTCCCTCTTTGGAATAGCATGCAGGATACAACTCGCGTTTTACGCGATGATGACGAGATGGACCAGCAGAAAGAAGGGAAAACAAGCTGGCTAGTGGATATCTGAATTGGATTTTAATAACGACAAAAGTCATATGATGATTTCCCTTTTTACACATGACCAGAAACCTCGGCTTGCATGTTCGAGGTACCTCCGAACGTCCTCATCTCAACCAAACAAGTTTCTACACTGGGCTCGGCATGACCACTCGCCTCCAGTGAAAAGGTCCAAACAACCGCTTGACCCCAATCCATGGCGTATTGATCGGGCTGTCCAGTCCCGTGTACAGGAACAAGTCATAGATCCAGCCACCAAAAGTGCAACCCAAGAACGGAGCGACCATCGGGACCTGTTTGCGCAGGTGAGCAAGGGCTGTAGCAGTGGACAATCTAGAACATACCCAGAAGTAGTAGTTGCCTGCAGCCCAAACCTCATGCCCATAACCCAGCATGTAGGACACAAGTCGTGGCCCAAAATCTCGCGCCAGGTTAATCGCATAGCCCGTTTCCCAGCCAAAACAGGCGCCAATACCAAAAATAACAAAAAACAGTGAAAGCGGTGTCAATGGCCCCGCGCCCAGATTGTCGTTATCTTTCAGGGCAAAGATCATGAACATCAAGATAGAGCTGGCTAGAAACTCGGAGAAGAACTGGCCCGTTTTGGTCATGAAATCGGCCGGGTACGTGCAGAAGATGCCTGCCGTGGCCGTGGTAGAGTACCCTGGTACAGTTCGAATGCCGGGTCCTCCTTCGAAGACGTCAATGGCTGACTTATAGTTCCCGTAGACGATGGCTGCACCGCACATTGCGCCAAGGACTTGGGCCAGGGCGTAAACGGGGAGTTTCCGCCAGGGAAACCCGCGGAAGACGCAGTTGGCAAATGTTACGGCTGGGTTGATGTGTGCTCCTGATGCACCACTTGTGTATACGCCGAGCATGACGCCGAGTCTGGTGGTTGTTTTGTTAGACCATGGTGTAGCTTCTAGAGAAAGAAACTTACCCCCATCCCCACGAGATTGACTGATAGTCACCTTTCTGGCCATTGCTAAGCAACACTTGCGCGACCACACCATCTCCAAATAGAATCAAGATCATGGTCCCGAAAAACTCTGAGAAGGCATCGCGACAATACTCGCGAAGTCGGCTCCAGAGCAGAGGCTGGTGGATGCTGTGAGTATCATCGGTTGCTGAGTGGATGGACGCCTCATGCTTGCTATCAAGGCACAGAGTAGGATATTCACTATCCCGGCTGTCCGGAGAGATAGAGTCTCTAGGAACCTTTGACATCGGGAATGATTGAGGTAGATGGAGAAAGGGCAATGTTGATATTGAGGGTCAGATAGGATTCACGAGGGCTTCCGGTGATATTATCACCGAGCAGACAGGAACAGCAGTGTAACCTTCTGAGCTCAAACTTGCCGTCTTCTTCTTGTTGAGTGGCCCCTGTTAGGTAATGCAGGGTCCTGGTTGAGGACAGTATGCTTCGGTATCCCAGAAATGCGTGAACATGCAGGAGGGAAGCACTCAAGTCATCGCTGACCTACTCGGAATGACCAGGTATATGTAGCCGCAGCACACCGTCAATTCGCCTTTTTGTGCAGCGGCCAAAATATGACAGCGCGTTCTTATTTTTGCCTTGATGATGTATGCGTTTGTTCCCACGGCCGTTTGACCTAAGCGGACGGGAAGTGCCGGCCAAATTGTGATCTTTTCTTTTCTTTTTTCCCTTTTCCATGGTAACTCAGTGACACCGCGAGTTTCCAGCCATTCCCATTCGTAAGGAAGGGGGAAAGGGGGGGGGGGGGGGGGGGGTCATGTTGGTGTTCGCAGGGAAGCGGAAAAGCTTCGTGGCTTAGTTACAACTCGCCGGGCAACCGCAAACCACGCAGGTTCCAATTCCAATTTCTAGAAGTTCCAACTGTGCAACCTGGGTGTGCATTGGGAAAAGGACGGGTTCCGGACAGGCAGACTATGTCAACTCGTTTCCTCGCCCTCTGCAGACAGGCTCGTCGGCACAGACGGTATCATTCTCTTCGGTTGTAGTCGAATGGCACGCCTGGCAGATTTGTGGTGTGACATGACATGCACCGGTAGCGTCGAGCAAGGGTAATCCGGAGAGGAGGTGGGTGGTACTACCGAGTGACAAGGGCTTGTTTCGTCCTCCGCGAGAGCGAGATGATGGGCGGATTTCACCGAACGCGCCAAGAACAGCGGCTGGCAGCATTGCGATTCTGACCGGACTCGAAGCAGTTGGAACTGAGTGGTTAATAAAACGAAGGTTGTCAGTCTCCACCGTGAATCCACTTGTGGACCTCGATAACCCAGCCGAGTCGTCCAATGTTGTTCTCCCCGCATTTCCTCCGGCATTAGCTGTTTAGTACAATGCGTCGCACAATGCCCATTATAGCGCATTTCTGTCTGGGCTGGGGGAGAGATGATTATTGGAGGAAAATTCTGTATAGAGAACAGAGCTGCCTGCAGAGAGGAAAAGCTCAAGGTTTGGGTGCTCGTGCCTCCTTTGCCGTAACTGACATAGTCCGTTGTTCACTATGGCGCCCCTGAGTGCCCCCACGAAACCCCGCGCGGAATAAGTGTCACCGCGTGAGCTTTGATCTCTCGTTATTTAAATGGCCGAGATGACCCTCTGGCTTTTTCGTCCTGCGAGCTGACACTAGTAGTTATTGTGCAAGACACCTGTCAGGACCATGCAGCCCTCAGAGATCTTCGTGGGCTCCATCGACCAGGGCACCACCAGCACTCGTTTCCTCATCTTCAACCATGATGGGGAGCCTGTGGCCTCACATCAAGTCGAGTTCACCCAGATATACCCAAACCCGGGGTACGTAGCTCGATTCAGACCGGACCTAACTACATACTAACTAACGCAGCTGGCATGAACACGACCCTCTAGAGCTAGTCTCCTCAGTCGAGACCTGCATCGAAGAAGCCGTAAAGGAGTTCGAGTCCAAGGGCTATTTCCGCAGCAGCATCAAATGCGTCGGCATCACCAACCAGCGCGAGACAACGGTAGTCTGGGACCACAAGACGGGGAGAGCCCTTGCACAATGCAATTGTTTGGACCGACACACGCTCCCAGGCAATAGTAACCGAGCTCAAAAAAAGGCCGGGTGCAGATAAACTACAAAATACCTGCGGCCTGCCGCTCTCGACCTATTCATCTGCTACAAAGTTGCTATGGATGCTGGAACATGTTCCCGGGGTCAAGGAGGCGTTTGATGGCGGCACGCTGGCTTTCGGCACAGTGGATGCGTGGCTTGTATACCGCTTAAATGGCGGCGTGACCGCTAATGTGTTTGTATCCGACTCGACAAACGCCTCGCGCACGATGTTCGCCAACCTAGAGTCGCTTCAGTACGATGATACCCTCTTGGACTTCTTTGGAATCAAAGGCAAAGTCCACCTCCCTCAGATCGTTCCCTCGTCAGATCCCACAGCATACGGTGCAATTGCCTCTGGTGCCTTGGCGAAGGTGCCCATCATGGGCTGTCTCGGCGATCAGTCCTCTGCGCTGGTCGGACAAAAGGGGTTTTCGCCTGGTATGGCCAAAAACACTTACGGTACGGGATGCTTCTTACTGTACAACGTTGGTGACAAGCCCGTGATTTCCAAGCACGGTCTCTTGGCTACTGTTGCATACAACTTCGGTGGGAAACCCGTCTATGCGCTTGAGGGCAGCATCGCCGTAGGGGGGTCGGGGATCAAGTTCTTACAAAAGAATATGGATTTCATTCAAGACTCTAAGGAGGTGAATGATCTCGCTCTCTCGGTTGAGGACAACGGCGGCTGCGTATTCGTAACTGCCTTTAGTGGGCTCTTTGCGCCGTATTGGATTGACGACGCAAAAGGCACAATATGTAGGCTCTTTGAAGCCATCTTTTCTGTTCCTTGCTAACATCTAGTCCAACAGTTGGCATCACACAATACACTCAAAAAGGGCATATTGCACGTGCAACACTGGAAGCAACCTGCTTTCAGACCAAAGCAATTCTCGACGCAATGGAGAAAGACAGCGGCAAAGCGCTCTCTGAGCTAGCCGTGGACGGAGGCATGAGTAACTCCGACCTGACAATGCAGGTATGCATTCAGATCCAACTTTTCCTCCTTTCTCTTCCAAAGATGCTAACTTAATTATCTCCAGACGCAAGCAAACTTAATCTCCATCCCCGTCTACCGACCCAAGATGCGTGAGACTACAGCTCTCGGCGCCGCCATCGCTGCCGGTCTAGCGGTCGGTATGTGGCGCAACTTCGCCGAGCTGCGCGACATCAATCGCGCCGGGGGAGCAGTCTTCGAGCCCCAGATTACGCGTGAAGAGAGTGCACAGATGTTCGGTGAATGGGAAAAAGCCGTACGGATGAGCAAGGGCTGGATTCAAAGTGGTCCATCTCAGGATAACACAGGGAAGGCATCGTCGTCTCAGGATGCCAAGGCGTATGGTACACCTGGAACGGTCACACCTGCTGAGAACCGCAATCCACCTCCTACCACTACTGTTACTCAGCCGGAGCATTCTCTCATCTCGGACATGGTGAGGAATCCCAGCGCCATTACGGCTGTTAAGGCGACGACGCTGGCGCCGAATGGGGAGACGGAGTTCCCGCCTGCAAGAACGCCACTAATTAGTATCTCCTCTGATTTAGATGGGGCTGATGAGGAAGAATTGTTCCTGGAGCTGCGGAAGGTGGAGATTCTGCAGAGGCTAAAGAAGTTGCGGAAGCTGAAACTGAGCTACTACTGAACTCTGGATGCTTGTGGGCCTTTACAATGGGTGTTTGGGGTGTCTCCCTTAGTTCTATTACTTCGCGATCATTTACACGCACTGCGGTGAAGTGCTCGCGCTGATACCTCTTAATATAAAGCGCTGGATTCGTTTCTATTTCATGAATCATACACGTAAAAAGTAGCCACGTAAGGCTTTGGAGATAGTTTGTGTTTACAATCTCATATACACGAACGCCTAGAAAAACTTCAGCGACATAACTCATAAACCGACCCAGCCAGTGCACCTTTTTTCAAGCAGCGACACCTTTAGACCCATACTTTGTCGCATCCTCGCCCTCCTTGACAAACACACAATTGAACTCCGACCCAGGACTCAGAGTAACCTCAAACTGCAACATTGGATCCTCAACACGTTCCTTTCCGCTAGCAGGCAGGGCAATAATTTGCTCATATATCTGCAAGATCCGGATAATGGTATATCCCATTTCAATAGTCGCAAACTGCTGCCCGATGCAAATGCGTGGACCGCCGTTAAACGGAACAAAGTGCCAGGGCCGAGGATTCCAGCCAGATGTCCAGCGCTCGGGAATCCATTTCCCGGGGTCAAAGTAGTTGGCCGAGTCTGGTCCATCGTATAGATCGGCATCGCGCTGCATCAGCATCGTCGAGTAGATTATGCGCGTGTTGGCGCGCACACCAACGGGGGCCAGTCCGTCCGGTCCACCGCCACGGGGGAGTGTGGTGTCCTTCAGTGAGTAGCGCACATTGAATGGGACGACTGGGTAAACGCGCATAGTCTCGTTGAGTACGGCGTTGAGGTACTTCATGTCCTTCAAGTCTGCGTAGCTGGGTTTCTGGGCATTGGCGCCGACACCTAGGCGTTCCCGAATTTCTTCGCGCAGTTTGGCAACTACCTCTGGGTGTCGTGCGAGTTCAAACAGACAGAAGGATAATGTGCCAGCTGTGGTGTCGCGGCCAGCGAGGAGAATTGCTACCAGCTGATCGCGCAACACTCGCGGGTCGCGGGTGAACCGAGCCAGTGCGTCGAGGAAGGTATCCCGTTTCGAAAGCTTCTGGTCAAGTTCCTCGGGGGTGAGTGAGAGAACATGTTGGATGTAGGGCTGGATAAAGTCATCCATCACCTTGAGATCCCTGCGGAACTGCTTGCGAGACAGGAAAACGCCGAAGATCCTTATTGTCAGAGTTATGTCAGAGATTGGCCAATAGAGAAGTAAATCAACATCGCACCAAGATCTTACCCAAATCGGAAAATCTGCGACTGCCGTTGTTGCACATATCTAAATGCCTCCGCAAATTTCGTAGCCGGGTTCTCAAGACTATCTGTGCCATTGCCAAGCAGATAATCCGTCGCTGCGTCGAGGGTATATCGATAGAACAGTGAGCCGACATCGACAACCTTGCTTCCGCGCGGGGCATCACTCCCTCCGAGCAGGGGGATAAGTTTTTGCACATGCTTCTCAAAGATCTCGGTATCAACAATGCGCTCACGCGCGAACATCGGCCGGATGAGCTGTCGCGAACGAGACCACAATTCTCCGTCCGTGGCGAAGATGCTATCACCCAGAAACTCCTTCCACTCGCGGTGGAAAGTCTCTCCTTTGCCGTAGTCTGCGAACTGGCCCGTGAGCAGCGCTTTGATGTTCTCTGGATCCGTAGTCATCACGATGCGGGTGGAGACCCCGGCGTCTAGCTCGGCGGTTTTGCAGTTTGACTGGCCGCCTGCGGTGACGATAGAGTTATTCCAGAATTCGATATCGCGATGGGCCAGGTTTGCTTGTTGGCCTTTGTAGACAAAATCCAGGGCTGGGTTAAAGGTCAGTTATGGCTTCTTGTTGTGTTTTGGAGTAGAGGGTCATACCATAAGGGAGCCGGAATTTGATCATGGGGGCCCTGGCTCCAAGACGTGAAATTTGCATAGAGGCCTGGACCTTGCGAAATAGACAGAAGAGAATGAAAAGCCCCAAGCACCATAGTGATGCCCGTCCGGGCGTCATGCCCACAAGGATATCTTCAATCATGGTGGTAGGCAGAAGAGTACTTTTAGGAGGTCGTTAGAGATACAATGCCAGGGTATAAGTACCCCGGAAATTATAACAAAGGGAGGGGTAGCTGGGCATAATCCAACATTGCTATAGGACACATCGTATGAAGCTAGTGGAGGGAAATTACTGATCCTAGGTATGCTTGCGAGCCCCGCTTTGATGGCAATGACTTCATTGGATCTTCTAGCAGATCCACTTTCGACGGACTTAGTTTTCATCATCTTATTATTGTCGGTGTCAGTCGTGAGCCTCCCCCGCGTTAACGCTTGCTCTCTAGATGCATTCTGGCTTTGTACCGGGGACCTCGGTTTGGCCCGGCCGCATATGATCTCGAACTCCCCCACGATCCACGCTGGATTGTGGTTGGTGCGGGAGACGCCACATTAAGCCTCAGCATGGCTGCTTTTTCTTGGGTCAGTCTCAAAGGGGGGGCCTGAGAAAAAAAGGTGATAGGTACAGATTAGAGGATGGAATTGGGGCTCGCGCGAATGCTGTAGGAAGACACCGCAAATGCAATATAAACCACCACGATGTACCAGTATATATCTCGAAAAGCCGAGAATGTCTGTTCGTAACCCAACTCGACTAGATCGTTTCCATGACTGGTGAGGCCCCAACCAGAATACGTATTACCAGTAAAATAAATTTAGCAACTATACCTTAACAAACAGTCCAGAGAACTCCTAAGCCAGGTTCTCTATCCCCTTTGGGAAGATCATGTTTGCACTGTTTGCATATTGTATCACATGACCACTCACAGACCCATTTTGGCGCCTCCGGATTTCCTTCAGCGCAACAACTCACTGTCGCGATTCCACTCGTCGACAACAACGGAATTTGTCACTCTCGACCATACTGACAGATACCATCACTCATTCTTTCCCTTTCCCTTCCATACAGCCGAGATCCGCTGTCCGACTGAGCGCTCGTATTGGGTGGCGTCGCGAAACATCCTTTTTGCCCGTCCTTGAGCTCGTCCTCTACGCCTCTCCTCCTCCCTCACCATGCTTCCCACCATTACCGTCGGCTCGCCCCTGGCGGAGGCGATTGCGAATGTCATCCCGCCGAAACTGGTCGAGTTCGGCTGGAGTGAAGATGGAAATGATCCGGCCTTGATCGAATATGTCGTCCTGATGCTTGCCAACGGCAAGTCACAGGAGCAGATCGCCACCGAACTTTCCAACGACCTTCTCGGCCTCGAGGAAGGCGACACTCAAGCCCTCGAGTTCTCGAAATGGCTGTTCGGCCAAGTTGACCTGCTCAACCAGCAAATCAACGGTGTCAGTGAGCCTGTGCAGGCGATTCCTTCCATGGGCCAGGAGTCAGTCATGCAAGAGGCGAATGGACAGGATGCAGATATGGTCGATGGTGCAACCGACGCGATGTGAGTTTTTCCGCCCTCTTTCTTCACAAAATACAAGTATACTAATGACGATTCATAAATAGACCCACTGGACCTAGAGCCATGCGCGGCGCAAGACAGGGCAGAGGAAGGATGCTCAACCAAATCAACAAGAGTCTCGATCGTGGCGATGCAGCTCTTCATCGCGTTCAGGGTCAGCGAGGCAACGGACGCGTCGGTGGGCAAAACCGAAACCAAAACCAAATGAGAGGCCGTGGCCGAGGCGGCCGAGGCGGAATGGGCATGTACGGCAACAACATGGGCGCTGGAATGCAGATGAGCCCCGAAAACCAGATGCAACTCATGTCCATGATGGAGGAACAGGCACGGATGATGTCCCAACTAATGCCCGGCTTTGTTCCCCCTGCAGTCAACCCGGCTTTCCAGCAAAACGGGGGCCAACAAGGGCGCTCTCTCTTCGATCGAGTTGAGCGGCAGGGAGGCCAGCGTTTCAATAAACGTGGACCGCGATCGAATGGCGCCGGGGACGGAGTCTCCGCAGACGTGGATATGGACACTGCCATGGATGGGGAGCAGGATGAGAACAGCACCTGCCGCTTCAACCTTCGATGCACGAAGAAAGATTGCCCGTTCGCCCACCAATCTCCAGCTGCTCCCGAGGGCGTGGCGATTGATGTATCTGATGTCTGCTCATTCGGCGCTGCCTGCAAGAACCGCAAATGTACCGGCCGCCACCCCTCACCCGCCGTGAAATCGGCTCACCAGGCCGAAGCGATGTGCAAGTTTTTCCCTCATTGCACCAACCCGCACTGCCATTTCCAACACCCGAGCATGCCACTTTGCCGCAATGGCGGCGACTGCAAGACCGAAGGATGCAAGTTCACCCACCTCCAGGCCATGTGCAAATTCAACCCTTGTCTCAACGCGCATTGCCCGTACAAGCACGCCGAGGGTCAGCGAGGGGCCAACGTGTGGAAAGCCGGAGGCCATGTCAGCGATCGCAAGTTTGTGGACCACGAGAATGGACCTGAGGAGCTGATCAAGCCGGAGGGTGAGGGCGTGCAAGGCCAGGAGCTTGCGATCTAGGAAAGAAAATGATGCCATGTACAATCCGAATTTGTGATGATGACTTGGGAGATTTCCGGGAAGGGCGTTCCAATTTGTTTTGCATTTTGCTTGTTTGTAGGCCTATGTACATAGAAGAATTATTCCCCTTGGTGCGACAACCACGATTCGTTTCCAGGATTCTTCATGACTCTAGCTCTGTAATATTGTATGTGCTTAAGTAAGCCCGTAGTTAATCTCTCCATGCGGCGCATTTCCTTCCCCAGCTTGTTTGACCTCGTCCCCCGCGCCGCGGACATGCGATCATTATGTGTCTCTAATCATACACTCAGAGTATGGCGGCGACGATTACTAGTCTCTGTTCTCAATGGCCACCGACGCGCATACAATGTCGCCGTGCTCGGCGGCGGCATCACCGGCTTGAGCGCCGCGTGGATGATCACACACCACCCCTCCTGCACCTCGGTCACTCTCTACGAGAAGTCATCGCGCCTGGGGGGTTGGATGGATAGTGAAACCATTCCTGTGCCCGGCGGAAAGGTGGTGTTCGAGTATGGTCCGAGAACACTCCGAGGCGCGTCGCCGACCTCGAAACCTCTCCTCAACATGGTATGAGCACTTAGCTTGCCATCACCGCACACAGACACTAATCCAACCTGCAACAGATCGCGAGGCTAGGCCTGTCCGCTGAAGATTTCATCATCACCCCGAAAGACCATCCCGCCGCCGTCAATCGCTATATATACTACCCAGACCATCTGGTTCGCCTTCCCACACCTATGCCCGGAGCCGGCTTAAAAAGCAACATATTCAACCTCGTTCAAACTGTGGCAGACGAGCCATTGTTCAAGTCGTTTCTTTCGGGCGTGTTATCGGACCTGACCACGCCACCGCGAGACCCAGCGGAGTGGACAAGGGACGAATCCATGGCCAGATTCATTTCTCGCCGATTCAACTCCACCATTGCAGATAATCTCCTCTCCGCGGTCATGCATGGCATCTATGCTGGTGATATCGACCGATTGAGCGCCCAGGCTCTGCTGGGCGGACAGCGCAACCTCGAGGCGCATGGCGGGGTCCTGGCCGGTCTTTTCAAATTAGCCATCGGTCACCGGAAGATTGTGCAAATAGATGATTATTTGGCATCTATATCCATGGGCGACGACCTTCTCGGGACTACTTCCTCCATGGGCTCGGATCTGGCACAACGCTTGGGCAAGGCTAGCACGTTCGCATTCAAGAACGGCAATAGCAGACTGGTCGATGCCTTGGAAGCCTCCTTGAAGAAATCTCCCAAGGCCAAGGTGGTTAAAAGCGCAGAGATCACCTCTCTCCAGAAGAAACCCAATAGTCGCCAAATCAACGTATGCTCACTTCGCTTTGTCCTTGCCCCCTCCTGATCTCTAATGCGCGTTTCCAGATCACATCTCAAGCAGACGGCCACCGAACCTTTGAGCGTGTCATTGCCACAATACCAGCGCCTGAGTTGACTCGGCTCTTGGCTTCAAGTAACCACTCCCAGGGATACGCCCCCACCCAGACGATCAAACGACTTGAGAAACAAAACTACGCCACCACGGTGAGGGTTGTGAATCTATATTACGAGAATCCCTCTCTACTGCCCCCGGGAATCAATGGTTTCGGCTACCTGATCCCCCGCTCCATTCCCTTCGACCAAAACCCAGAGTGCGGACTTGGAGTGATCTTTTCCGCCGGTGTCGCCAACGACGGCAGTCCACTGGGCACGCAGCTCACCGTGATGTTCGGCGGCCACTACTGGGACGGCTGGAAGGACAGCGACTACCCAGATCACGACTCCGCCGTCGAAATGGCTCGGACCATGCTGGAGAGACACTTGGGAATCAAGGAGAAACCACTCATCACGAGCAGTAAGCTGCAAAAGAATGCTATCCCGCAGTATACCGTCGGCCACCTGGACCGCATGTATCTGCTGTCCAAAACAGTGCGCGACGAGTGGGACAAGCGCCTCACCCTTGCAGGGAACTGGTACAACGGTGTCGGCGTGCCTGCCTGTGTCAAGCAGGGCGTTCTGGCCGCACAATACGGCACCCGTGCAGTTTGGCATGACCACAACAATAATGACCCGTTGAGGAGATATGGCACCCACAACTGGGAACTCGAAGGCGGCCTTGTTATGCCTCCCATTCGACTTGATGAGTGGGACAACAGCGAGATGGCTACCTAGTTAGTGGTCGTGGTTGTTGTCGTTGCTTAGCGTGGCGCCAGCTTGTTCTTGTTGTGTATACTAGGTGGTTTGTACTAAGGAGAAGGAGAAGGAGATCTGTACATGTATCTAATTCGGGTCTTTGACAGATAAAAACAACATAAATGGAATATAAATAGATCACAGTACCTTGGCACGTCTTCAACGCCATTCCCAGCTCGCGTCTTCACTTATCATTTATTCGTACATGCACTTCAGGTGGACGCGTGTCGACAAATGTGGTGTTGTCCAATCATCGATGCGACGGTCTCCGTAGGCCGGATGCCGCGGTGCAGGTGATTGTGAGGTACGCAGTGCTCGCTCGGAGGACTTTATGAGCCCATGAGAAGCCGGTGAGTTTGTCGGACATTCATTCAAGCGTGCTTTTTCAAACATTGAGTGAAAATGGGCAGTGCCTGGGACTGGGAGTCTTTCCTGGTTGGAATCCACAGCGAGGCACAGAGGCAATTGAGGATGAGGCGGACGGAGCGGAATTTTCGACTCGAATAATATTCGTAGACAGTCCCGGCTTGGACAAGAAGAGAGGGAGATCAGACACTCTCTTTGGCGTCACCCTCCTTGTCGCCATTGACATCAACCCCAAGCGCATTCAGCTGTCGCACAAGCTCCTGGATCTTGATCACTTTCTCCAGCTGCTCAGGCAGCAGTGCCTCGCCCTGGTTCTTCTTGTCGCGTAGATCTCGCGCCTGGCGGAGCTTCTTCCTGAGATTGCGGGCTTTCTTCTCCTTCTCAGCCTCAGCATCCACAACAGATTCTGGCTTTGTTTCCACAGGAGCAGCAGCAGCAGGAGGAGCACGCCAGTTCTCCGACTCCACACCCTTCTTCTCGCCCTCCCCATCCTCCCCCTCAGCCTTGGCCCTCTTTCGCGCCTCCCGCCGCTTGGCGTTCTTGTTGCTGGCTGCGGTCCCGCTGCTTTGGGCGGCCGTCTTGTCGTCTTCGCTGCTCAGCCCATCTGCGCCCGGCACGCCACCCTTCCCGCCACGGTTCTTCCAAGCAGCTGCCGCGCGATTCTTGTACAGCTCCACGTCCTCGGGGGGCTTGTAGCCCGGGCGGACACGAATTTCGCGGCGTTTGGAGCCGTCGGCTCGCACGGAGGAGGGGATGTAGCGCTCTCCGGTGGCGGCGTCGGTGGTGATTCCTGATTTGGAAATGCTGTCAGGCGTGGCCATATTGGAAGAAACCAGTGGACCAGAAATTGATGCAGGAGGAATAGTTAGTAGTAGAGGTACGCACTGAAAGTAGTTAGTAAAGAGGAAGAAAACAGTCAGGCGGGCGGCCAATCACGGGCGGAGAATGCCGGCAGTTTTCGTGCTTGCAACTTCTTCCGTCGTCTTCCTTGTCTCGTCTCTCTCCCACTCCCATATCACCTCTACCCACTCGCCTCCCTCCGTCCACAATGGCTGGCTCAGTGAGTTGCCCTCAATTGATTTCTGCTCGACGAGCCGTGCTGACTGTTGCAATCCCAGATCTCCAACGTGATCTACCAGTTCGTCCACCCGTCCCTCAACCCAGACCCGGACCTCCCCCGACCACCGACTGCTGGTCGCATACCTGCCAATGGGCTAACCATACTATTTTGTACTCTCCAGGACCTTCATCCGCAAGAACGCGATCTTCGTGACCTCGATCTTCGCCAGTGCCTTTGCCTTCGAGCTGTGCGTTACATCCCGACCCGCGAACTCTGTTGTGTCAAACAGAAAGACACTCTGACTGACCCTGTTCCCTATTGCGAAATAGTGCCTTTGATACCGGCTCCAACAAGATCTGGGATGCTGTCAACCGCGGTGTATGTCTGTCCTTGAATTCTCGTCTCTGTCACGCTCTTCCCTGTTACACCCCTGATCTTTGGCTGAACCTTTACTGACTCTTTCTCTCTTTCGGTGGCTCAGCGGCAATGGAAGGACATCAAGTACCAGTATATGAATAAGGAGGATGAGGATGAGGATTAAGCTGTGAGAAGATCTGTGTGATTGAAGATGGGCGCAGCTCATGGGGAAGCGCCGATGTGGCTGTCCAGTCATTAGAGAAGAGTGTCTGTGTTGATAGAACTCGATTGTATTTTTCTTCTTCTTCTTCTTCTCTTCTTATTATTCTCCCTTGGACGTAAATAGAGGTAAGTTACTCGGTAGTACATGGTGAGGGTCTCGGTCTCAGTCATCAGTGGCGTGGAGACCGACCGATGACACCGATGTCATAGCCAATCTTCTCCGCCTCGAGTTCTTCAAAGATTCACCAACCCTCTCCCTGTCTCGGTGCGCGACAGTCGACGGACCTTTACGATCTACCGTGATCATCTAATTATTCTGCTCTCACTTCTCTCTCCCCACCCTAGTTGTGCCCGTATCAACCTGCCAACGCATTGCCAAACCGACCCCCACTACCCAGAATCCTATCGAATCCTTGAGACACAACAGCATCCTGCATTGACCGATCATCTTGACCTCGACCTGACACACTCACATTTCCATTTTGTCCCCATAAACCCTCGGGGCCACTGCTCGCCCTCGTTTGGCTTCCGTCTCCCGCGTCCAGCTCTTCTCTCGGCGCTTGTGACAGTCGACCGGCTGCGGCAACCCACCTCTCGCCCGCCGCCGAAAGAGCCATGCTCATGCTCGCAGAATGTGAGAGAATTCTCGGCAATGGTCTCCTGAGCCTACCTGCGCAACACAATTTCCGCTATGGCCCGCAGGCCGAGCGCGCCCTCCTAGAACTGCTTTTCCGATCACTCGTGGGACACAATGAAGAGCTCATCGGCCACCTGTTTCCTGATGGTCTCCCGACGGGCCCCTGGAAGCTGGCCGAGGCCCAGGGAGCCCGTGAAGGCGCTGAGTATAGCGAGGCCGCGCGAGGCAAGCGATGTGGGCATATCTTCCGGGCTGGCGAAGCCACCTACCGATGCGTGACCTGCGCCGCGGACGATACATGCGTGCTGTGCAGCCGTTGCTTCGATTCATCGGACCACACGGACCATCAATATCAGATCTCGCTCTCGTCTGGGAATTGTGGCTGCTGCGACTGCGGCGATGAGGAGGCATGGAGACTACCGCTTTTCTGCGCCATTCATACAGACAGCGGCAACGTCAAGGGGAAAGAACGTGCACAGTGCGAGCTGCCGGTCGACTTGGTGTCTTCTATCCGGCTGACCATCTCGCGCGCCCTCGACTATTTCTGTGATGTCATCTCCTGCTCGCCGGAACAATTACGCCTGCCTAAGACCGTCGAAGGCATCAAGCAAGATGAAGTCGAGTCTCGACTGGGCCCCAGCTGGTATGGAGCGGGCGACCCAGAGGAGGAGGAGCCCGAGTTCGCACTCTTGCTGTGGAACGACGAGAAGCATGCCATCAAGGATGTTGCGGAGCAGGTTACTCGTGCCTGTCGTGAACGAAACAGCTTTGGCGTTGCACGGGCCCACGAGACACACGACATTGGTCGCAGCGTCGTCAAATACTCCAAGGACCTGCAAAGATTACTGGCTGTGTCGAAGATTATCGAGGAGATCAAAGTCACGGTCACCGTGCGCTCTGCACGCGACACCTTCCGCGAGCAGATGTGCGCAACGATTGTCGAATGGCTAGCCGATATTGCTGGGTGCAGCATCCTCGAAGATAACGAGATCTTCAGACAGGTTGTTTGCGAGGAATTGCTCAGTCCGTGGCGGAAAGGGAGCGGTGCCTACAATGCGGATATCGGAAGAAAAGGCATTGATGACCACCAACGATACGACAACCTAGCCGCGCGTTCCATTATGCTCACAGTATCGCCCCAAGGCGGGGTAGTGGTGACGACTGGTGATGATGATGAGGACGAAGATATCGACGACGCCAACGACCAAGACATGGACGAAGATTGGGTTGAAGCGCATGACGACGCGGATGATGAAGATGACGAGATGGAAATTGAACTCGCTACGCAGCTCCAGGCTGACGACAATGAGGATGAAGATATGGACATGGGCACTACCGATGAAGATATTGCTGCCCGCATGCGCATGATAACAGCGCTTGCTCGTGCTCGCGTACAGCGGATGGCCGCCCGATCTCCTGAGGCGACGGAGCAGCCTTCAGCGCAACAAGATCGGTCAACACCGTCTCACGAGACGGGGAACCAGGCTCCTCCCTCCGAAGGCTACGTGGCTATTCCGCGAACTCCGTCTGGTGTAGTCAAGCCCACTCCGGCGCGGACAGAGAGTCATTGGCAAGTTCGACCGCCTGTTCCTGCGCCGGGCGAGAAGGTTCCAGTGTACGAAGATCTGTGGCAACGCACTCGCTTGGATTGCCTGGTCCTTTATGACCTGAGGCTATGGAAGAAGACACGGACCGATCTGCGGGATCTATATATCAGCACTGTCGTCAACGTGCCCCAGTTCAAGCGGATTATGGGTCTCCGCCTGTCTGCCTTGTACACGGCTTTGGCCCAACTGTATCTTATTGCGGACCGGGAACCAGACCACTCCATTGTCAACCTATCGTTACAACTTCTGACTACGCCCTCAATAACGGAGGAGATTGTGCTGCGAGGCAACTTCCTCACCAAGGTCATGGCCATTCTCTATACTTTCTTAACTACCAGACAGGTTGGTGAACCGCAGGCTGTCAACCCGAACGCTACGCTGGCCTTTGATGGATCGGTGACCAATCGACGCCTGTATCATTTCTTTCTCGACCTTCGCTACCTCCTTCAATCAGAGTACGTGCAACATCGGGTGCGCACCGAGGAACAATACCTCTCCCAGTTTCTGGATCTTGTCAAGCTGTCGCAAGGCATATGTCCCAATGTGCGCGCGGTAGGCGAACACGTGGAGTACGAAACCGATACCTGGATCAGCGCCTCAATTCTCATGCGCGAGGTCAATCGGTTGTGTCGCCAATTCTGCGAGGCATTCCGCAACCCCGCAGATGACAATGCCCATAACCTGCTGAGGGCTATCAAAACCACAACGATCACCACGATCGTGCACTCGGCTGGCGTGGAACGCAAACGATTCGACCAAGCAGAGATCAAAGAGGAGATCCGCTTCAAGACCCTGCCACCATTCGATTTCGAAGTCGGTCCATCTGGTGAAGTCCCTTGCCACCGCGTGATCGAGTTTGTTGTTGATCGCGGGTGGATCAGTTTCCATCATGCTCTACACTATACCCTCTCATGGCTCATCGAATGTGGCCGCAACATAAGCAGCGATGCGATGCGCAACATCCTCTTTGAAGCCGCCCGTGCTGCGAGGAATGAACTGCACGTTGCTAAAGCTGCCGGCAGTAAAACTGTTGATGATAGTCTCCTCACTCTCGGGCCGGAAGATTTACTTCTCACAATGTTCGACTACCCGCTGAGAGTTTGTGCCTGGCTTGCGCAGATGAAAGCTGGGATGTGGGTTCGCAATGGTCTCAGCCTACGCCATCAGGCGTCGCAGTATCGCGGCGTTTCGTCTCGCGATTTTGCTTACTACCGCGATATCTTCCTTTTACAGACGGCGCTGGTGACCTGCGACCCTAGCAGGGTACTTGCATCTATTGCACATCGGTTCGGGGTGGTGGACTGGATGGCCCGAAATTACATGCCTCGCTCTGGTTATGAGGATACCCAGATCATTGACGTCGCGGAGGAATTTGTTCATTTGCTTGTCATTCTGCTGACAGACCGCACCTCCTTGACGGCTATCGATGACAGCACGCATTTGACCCGTGAGAACATCAGTCGTGACATTGCCCACGTTCTCTGCTTCAAGCCCCTCTCTTTCTCCGATCTTTCTGGTCGCCTCAGTGACAAGCTGCTTGACTCGGATATGTTCCAAGATGTGTTGGACGAGATCGCCAATTTCCGCCCACCGGAAGGCTTAAGTGACACTGGAACCTTCGAGTTGAAGGGCGAGTACCTCGATCTGATCGACCCTTATAGCGCGCACTACACAAAAAACCAGCGCGACGAGGCAGAGAACATCTACAAAGAGTGGGTGGCGAAAAGAACCGGCAAGAAGGCGGCAGATATTGTGTTCGAACCGAAGCTTCGCCCAATCAGTTCTGGCATGTTCTCTGAGCTGCCCCGTTTCACGGGGACTATGCTCTTCGCTCAGATTGTCCACCAATGCCTGGAGTACGTTGTGACGTCCAAGGAATGCACCCCAAGTATTCCGCCAACGCGGGTGGAGACTTTCCTTCAGGTGATTCTACATCTTGTTCTTGCCGCAGCCTTGGAGGACAACTCCCAGGAGACCGAGGGAACCTTTGAGCAGGAGAATTCCTTCAACTGGCATGCTCTGTCGAAGACGCGTGAGATCAAGGCAGGCAATCTCACCATCGTTGGTCTCTTGGAGAAGATCTCGGTGATGAATGAGTTTGCTGCCTGTGGGCCCAAGATTCGTCACATTCTCAAGCGACTGTGGCAGAAACGCCCTGAAACCTACATATCGGCAACTGCCTCGCTCAAGTTCCCGTTCGACCGCATTGACACCAACTCTCCTGCCATTGACGCGGACAACGAGAAGGAGTTGAAAAAGAAACAGGCCCAGGAGCGCCAAGCAAGAGTGATGGCGCAGTTCCAGCAACAGCAACAGCAGTTCCTGAACACTCAGGGCGGATTCGACTGGGGCGAAGAGGATTTCAGCGATCTTGAGTCGGAGACTGGGACTGCCACTGAAACGAAAACGTGGAAGTATCCCAACGGTACCTGCATTCTATGTCAGGAGGAAACGAATGATTCCAGACTCTATGGCACCTTTGCTCTTATTCAGGATAGCACTATTTTGCGACAGACGGATATCCGTGACCCGGACAGGATTCGAGAAGCACTGAAGACTCCGTCAAGTCTGGATAGATCAGCCGAAAGTTTGCGGCCATTCGGGGTTGCTGGTGAGAATCACACGACGATCAAGCGACTGGACTCTTCTGGTGGAGAAGTCATCAGTGAGAAGATCGGTTTGAGCAAGGGCTTTAACCCGAAGAGTACCCTGCGTGGACCAGTAACCACTGGCTGTGGGCATATCATGCATTATCACTGCTTTGAGGTTTACTATACGGCAACCGAACGGCGGCACAGCCACCAGATTGCGCGCAATCATCCGGAGAATACCATGCTCAACGAGTTTGTCTGTCCCCTGTGCAAAGCACTCGGCAACGCGTTCCTTCCAATCACTTGGAAGGGCAAGGAAGAGTCTTATCCTGGTCCGCTGAACACGGCGACTTCATTTGATCAGTGGATGACCACTGGTCTGAAGAACGCCCTGAATAATCAGCAGAATTTTTCTGTGCTTATGGAGAAGGAGAGGTCATCTCAGCAATCCTACTCAGATCTTTTCATCGGCTATCTGTCGAAAACCTTTGTCCTGCCACTCTCCACTAAAATCGATCAGCTTATGGCTTCTTCACTCCCAACGACTGCTGCTGCCCAGTATCTTTCGTCGTCACGGATGGCTATGCCGGGTCTTTTCCCCTCGCCCGAAGACATCACACCATCCAGCCCGCTTCAGCAAGTATCCAGCCCGTCAGACAGCCCCATGTCTGAGCTTCTTCAAATCTACAAGAGACTGAAGAAGACGCTTAAAGTGAATCACATCAACTCGGTGTTCAACAACTCGCCCGAGACAATCGGTAATGACGATCTCGTCCACACGGACTCGCTGATCCGGAGTTTCGGGTTCAGTATCTCAGCGATTGAGATTGCGCAGCGTGGCGTGGAGTCTGAGCCGGGTTCGACGTTGCTGGACAAGATTCCTTCCCTAACGCTGACGCATCTGCGTGTTCTGGCCGAGACGGCTCTCACCTATGCTGCGGTTGGATGTCTTCACTCCTCCAGTTCACCGAAGAGCCGTCCAACGCAGGAGTACCACGAGATGCACCGGCAGAAAATCTGCCAGTTGCTTGTCGGGCATCCCTGCTTGAGTGGCACGCCACTGCTGAATGATGTTCGCAATATTGAACCTCTGCTTGCCATAGACACGTTTGTGTTTCTGGCAGAGTGCTCGCTTTCGCTGCTACCTGTTCTTCATGTCGATGTGCGCCATCTTATTCACATGTGCTATGTCGCGGAGATAGTCAAGGTTGCCGTGACATTCATCCTCTGGCCGCTGGGACTGAAGGAAGAGATTGCCGAGCATGGGGAAGCGTACCTATTAGACGCGGAGCTGTCGGATGAGCAGTACGGGGTTACGAAGCACTTCTTCGACTCGGTCGTTGCCGAGCTCAAGGCCAACTCCGTCGGACGCGCCGAGGGTTCGTCGTTCCCTGCCGAGAGCGGCTACGTCAAGGATGGAGAGGAATCTGCCACGCCGGGCGTCATCATTGCTATCCGCCGGCTGGTTTCAAGCTACGCTTTGGCCTTCCTGCGCAAAACCGCGATCTTGCTACATGTCCAGCACGGTGTCGAGTTCCCCCACACCGGCTTCACGGACATGGGTGCATCCGAGCTGGAGCGTCTGACAAAGGCCCTGCATATGCCCTCGCTCGACGAGATTTTCCTGTCCGTCAACCCGGCGCGGAAGAGCAACAGTCCCTTCGATGCGGTCATATCCGGTTGGATCTTCCACTGGAATGCCTCGCGCTCTGGAATTCGCTTCGAGGACCACCGGCTCTGGCCGAGTCTGCCACACCCTGCCATCTTCGAGCTTGTCGGTCTGCCCAAATACTATGACAGTCTGATCGAGGAGGCGAACCGCCGCCGGTGCCCGAACTCGAAGAAGGAGCTGACCGACCCGAGCATCTGTCTCTTCTGCGGAGATATCTTTTGCTCGCAGGCTGTCTGCTGCCAGCAACACAAGTTGGGCGGATGTAACCAGCACTTACAGAAGTCAGTTTTTCCATTATCCCTCTTGCTAGATTACCAATCGCTAATCTTTGTTCCTTCCAGATGTGGCAAGAACATCGGCCTCTTCATTAATATCCGCAAATGCACCGTTCTCTACCTGCACAACCACAACGGCTCCTGGCATTTTGCCCCGTACCTCGACCGACACGGCGAGGTTGATCCAGGTCTGAGACGCAACCGTCAACTCATACTCAACCAGAAACGCTACGACAGACTCCTGCGTGATGTGTGGCTGTCACACGGTGTTCCCGCGACCATCAGCCGCAAGTTAGAATCGGAGATCAACAACGGTGGATGGGAGTCGCTCTAACGGTGTACTAAAGAAAAAGTTTGGGTTTGGCCGGCGAGTAGAGGTCGTTGTTGTTGCAGCAAGCCGGCGAACTGGAAGACGGGTTGCTTGTTCCCAATTTTTTTTCCTCCATATTGGGTTTCTTTTTGCATTCACTGTACTTTCTTTCTCGCTTCGGGTTGGATTCTCTTAGTGTACATCAGACTATTAGGTCGTTGGATATGATCATGGCGTCTCTCTACTTGTACAAATCTCGCTATCTTATCAATGCCAAGATCTCTCTCCTCAACCTCCAACTAACTTTCTTTCAATGCAAGTCCGACCGCCGTCCAATTCTTAGAAACACCCCGCCATGAACAACGATCAATTCCGGCGGCTGCTTGCTGACAAGTCGGTCTCCTCAACATCCAAAAACGCATCCTCCCCATCAGCCCGCGATGCAGCCCCGGGAGGCGCAACACCCAGAGGAGCATTGGGCTCGCGCATGCGCTCCAGCATCCCCATGACACCGTACGCCACCACCTATATTTCTGGTATTATCCTCTAATCCCCAAAGCTAACATCCCTTTCACAGCCGCTCCGTAACAGGCATCGACTTCGCGCGCCAGCTAGCCGACCAGCGCAACGACCAACGCCCCACAAAGCGATTCAAATCCTCCGCCGCCCCAAAGGGCACAAAACTCCCATCCGGATACCAAGACCGCGCACAACAGCGCAGCACACAAGATGACGACGAGATGGATGAGGGCGGCGGAGATGACGTCCAGAAACGCGTGCGCGCGCTAGAGGAGATGGTGAAACTGGGCCAGATTGATCAGGGTACTTTTGAGAATATTTGCAAGGAACTGGGCGTTGGTGGAGATGTAGGCAGTACGCATATGGTTAAGGGGCTTGATTGGGAGCTTCTGAGGAGGGTGCGTGCCGGGGAGGATGTTTCGCAGGCTAAGGAGAAGGAGGTTGCGTCTGCTCCTGTGCAGGGAGACGCTGAGGAGACCGAGGAGAATGCAGACGAGGCGTTTGAGCGGTTGATGGAGGAGAAGGGGATGGAGGAGATACAAGCTGCACCGAGGGTGAAGGAGAAGAAGAAGGGAACTATGGCGCCACCACCGCCGCGGAAGAAGACTCGAGATGAGATTCTGAAGGAGCTTAAAGCTAGCCGTGGTGCAGCTGCACCACCGCCGCCGCCGGAGCCATCGCTCGGGTCCAAGTTCAAGAAGTTTGGTGATCGGAAGCCGGAGAAGAAGCGGTTTGTTGAAACGGACGAGACGGGGAGGCGGCGCGAGGTATTGCTTATTACGGATGCGGAGGGCAACACGAAGCGGAAGACGCGCTGGCTTGATCCGCCGGTTGAAACCAAACCTGGACTTCCTATGCCTGACAAAAGTGTGCAGCCACTTGGGATGGAGGTTCCTGCTGAGATTGCAGCGAAGGCTGCAGCTGCAGCTCCACCGCCAGAGGAAGAGGATGATGATATCTTCGCGGGGGTCGGGGCCGATTACAATCCCCTCGCCGACCTGGAAGATGATGAAGGGTCTTCGTCAAACGAGGAAGGCGAGGACACTGCCCCGAAGCGTGAAAAAGCTCCCAAGGAAGCGGAGCACCCTGCTATTGATTCTACAGCGCCTTCCAAACCACGCAACTACTTTGCGACGGGCGCCTCTGTCACCGAACCCGAAGAACCAGAAGATCGCTCCAACCCCCTCGCAAAGGATCCAACCATCCTCGCCGCACTCAAACGAGCAGCAGCACTGCGCCAAGCATCGCCCTCCGCCGAGGACGAGGAGTCCCAGGACAAAGATGCCGCTCTGCGAAGCAAGCGGTTCCTCGAAGAGGCGCGGCGCCGAGATGCGCTGGACGCGGCGGACATGGACCTTGGGTTTGGGGGTAGTCGGAACGAAGACGGCGAGGATGAGGAAGCGGTTCTGCTTGATTTTGAGGAACGCGGTGGCAAGAAGCGGAAGCGGGGCCCCAAGAAGAAGAAGGGGGATAAGGATAGTGCGGCGGACGTGATGCGCGTGGTGGAGGGGCGCAAAAAGGATGCGGAATAGTTCGATTTAGCTGTGGTTCTTTAATTCAAATACCCCGTCCGAGCAGGACCTGGCTTCAGTGCCACTGTAAAACTTGTAAATCCGTGGGTGGGTGGATGTTGTGCCGGAGTATGAGCTTAATTACGCTTAAACTCGATCCCCATCTGGTGCCGCCTCCCGCCAGCTGATCCAAACGTAACACTAACCTCACGACATACAGACTAATCCTAGCTGGTTGGAATATGTGCCACTCGGTTCTCAAACAGGCATCGGGTCTCTCATTCACTGGGTGGCCACATACTACTAGATGCAATCTGGACCTGGTGCCTTCCCAAAGAGGTCAAGTTCTCTCGTTCACCAGCCAGCCAGCCCATCATAAATACCAGGCCTGCCCCCGTCTCTCCTCCCATTATTCTTCCTTCCTACAACTCCTCTTCCCCCTCTTCTTCCTACCTCGTTTCTTCCCCTCCTGCTTCCCACCTCCCACACCGTTCTTGTCTTGCCATGTTTCTTATCTTTTCCCATCTTCCTACCATTCCCCACCATAACTTCAAGACCTGGCCATGCGTCTGCATGCATCTGCTCTTGCGAACGCCCTCTTATCAGGTAAGAACTCTAGCGATTTTTTTACCACTCTGGCTTCGTGTGCGCGCCACGAACCATCTCTCTGTAGACCTCCGGTCTCGCCCCCTTGGAGGCACTTGCCATCGCCAGAATGAGTGGAAGACCTTACTCAGCCCTGGGCCCCGGCTGATGGAAGACGATTTTGTCTTCCTTTGTCCTTTAGGTATCTTCGCACCTTGACGACTATCGTCGGCAGCATTTGTCTTGCCCCGGGCGAACAGCCTGCCCGACTGCTAGTCGACATGGCATCTTTTCATCTTCTTGAAGGTAAGCATCAAAGACACTTGAATGGGCAGTGGCCAATAGATCTGCCACTGATCTCGCATTTCCTTGCATCTATCGCACTAGCATTTTTTGCATATAGACATATTCTGTGCGTAGATTAAGTCGGAGGTGCTTACACCAGCTTGAATAGCAGGCTGACGACGGTGCTTCTCTGCTTTCTCTTTAGGATTCTTAGGAACTACGGCATCTCCACCACCTCGACGCACACGACCGACGCCTGCACTCCGTGTCAGGCGTGTACTGCTTGGTAAGTTTCTCCCAATATGCAGTTTGTATCGTGAAGCTAACATGCCTGCTGTAGGAACTTGAGAACTCCCATGGAGGCGATCACTGCTTTTCAGCAGCTGGCACCGTCAATGTAAGTACCGCACTTGATATAGGACGAGAGAGTGGCCGATAATAACATCTGGCTCTCACTGTCCTTTTTTTCTTGTAGGGGGTGCTTACTCGGCTTGTTTACCAAGCTGACGATGTTCTTCTTCTTATTTCCTCCAGAAACGGTGTCGACTTACACTATCCGTTGAGTTAACGCGGCGAAGCTAGTCCCTTGCGATATTATTCTTGGTGATCCATTAGGCTAACAAGCCACCGAGGTACTTTAGGATTGGACGAGGAGCTCCTCATCTTGTAGGTAAGCCCAAATGTTACTTCCGAGGGAGCGGCCTAGATCAGTCGCCGCCTCATACTTCCTGCTTTTAGTGCTTACCAGCTTGGCTTGCGAGCTGACTGCGTTGTTGGTTGGCTCGGGTCCATGGACTGTGCCAGCTTCAACAGTTTGGTGGCTGTGGCAGTATGCAACCTGGTAAGTCTCTTGGATATAATTGTTGTCTATTTGTCACTGATAAACCTCCTTCAGATAGTAGAGCATCCAAGCCACTGAACAAGACTCTGTTTCGGCTTTTGCCAACACCCAAGCACACCATCGAAATGGAAGCACCTGCTGTCGCATCGCGGAAGCTTGGATTACTCGTGTATTATGCATCTTGTCCATAGTCAATATCTATGAACTAATGCCTCCGCAGGAGCATTCACATATAAGTTGCATCTGGGGTTTTGCCAATATCATTTCTGAAAACACGTGTTCTTGCTAGAGCTAGGCAAATAGAACCGACGAGGTAAGTTGGCATGCGATGTGGCTGGCTGAACTGCATGAGAGTCACGAACAACAACGCGAGTCAGCGAGAGTGAATGTGGCGTTGCCTCATGATTAGGACTTTTGAAGAAACTGAGAAATGCTATGCTCTGGGTGGGTGGGAAAAAAAAGCCAGCGCGAAAAAAAATTTATTGTGTTGATTGTTGGTTACATAAAGCTTTGGTATTTCTGCAACGCAGTCCGGCGGTTCATGCATTTCACCCTTAAGAGGTTGAATATCAAGATTTGCTCTTCATTATTCGTTAAGGGCGCTCTCAGATGCTCGATATTCTGCGCCACTATGCACCATTGGGTGAGATTTCAATATTTTACCCTTTTAGACGACGATAACTTGGGATCGCATTGGTACACGGCATTTACTATAGGTAATAGTTGCCGAGAACCATGTGTATAAATACCGAAACAATCCTTGCAGAGCGAGAATTGAACACACCCCTGAAGTCAATTTCTTCTTTCTCACATCATGATAAATATTCAAGGCCCTCCTACCAACATCCTAAATACCCGTGATAAATATGCCTTGGGTAGAAACCAAAAAGAATCCGAACGGTAGGAAAGACCTAACCTCGTTTCGCGAGAGGATAGTATTTAACGAAGGTTTGATGCAACATCTAGGCTAAATGCACAGCACAATATGCTCCTGAAAGTGTCCCAAAACACCCTGATCCATCCATCGATCCCTAAAGATAGTGTTTTATCTGTTGCAGATATTGCGACAGGGACCGGGTGAGTCTATTGTTCTTTTCTCACGAAGGCCTATGGCTAATGAATGAACGAAAAAGCATTTGGCTGAAGGACGTTTCGCAAATGTTGGAAAACTCCCACATCCGGCGTTACTACCATGGGTTTGATATCTCACCGGAACAATTTCCCAAGGATCCAGGGAGCATCGCGTTTTCGGTTCACGATATAACGAAACCATTTCCTAAAGAACATTGGAATAGGTATGACCTAGTCCATGTGCGACTATTGGTTGTTGCTCTCGAAGAATCTGAATACAAAGCTGCAGTTTCCAACCTCTATACCATCTTGAGTATGTCTCTCCCGATCTGAGTTCTATATTTCTTCGTTCCGTTGTTCATACCTATTCAGAGCCCGGCGGCTTTCTTCAGTGGGAGGAGGTCGATGAAGAAACATACATATCAGATTCCAACCCAGTCATTTGGGAGATTCGGAGATGCTTTAGTTCTTCACTCAAGGCCGAGGGAAAATGTTTCCAAGCATCAGCAAAGATCTACGATGAGTGCATGGCAGCTGGTTTCCTGGATGTTGTACGGCTGGCCTATGACTCAGATTGCGTTAGTAATGTACGTCTCGACACAGAGGAAGGACTTGCAGCACTTATTGAAACGCTATATGCCAATTTTCTCTTGCGATCTGGGCAAGTTGATGACGAAAAGGCGGCATTAAGGCAGGCTGCGGAGTTGATCGAGCAACATTGGCGCCTTTGTGAAAATGGAAATTCTCCGCCGCTGAAGCTGATGAGGGTCGTTGGTCAGAAGCGACTACGTGATGGGTGCCTATAAGAATGAGAGTATTCCATGTCTGTGGTATTTTCGAACATATGTCAATTCTCAGAATAGTCTTTGCGAGCCCTGCCGTCGCCCCTTGTACAGCCAACGCGCCAGTGCCCGAGGAACTGCTACATAAGAAGGCAATGAATTTGTAAGACGACAATTGCTGAAAATTAAAAGTAATGAAAATATGAACTTTCCTTGGTTCACAAGATAGCCGATTTCTTGGGCGATTCTGATAGCATTGCAAAGGGTTACATATCTCTCTGGTGACAGGCAATGCTATATTATATGTGCTATTGGATGGATCAAAAAGATCACCAAGTTAACCTTCATGGTTGACATGCCGGGATACCAATTCAACATCGCTCGCAATGATCAATAGGTGTATCGAAAGCCTGGTCTGCCCTCAAGAGTGACTTCCCCTCCCGCTTGCCTTCTATTCTGGATCCAGAAGTAAATCGAAGTGGAACACACGGACAATATCTGCAACACGGCTGCTGTTAGGCAGGTATAAAGACCGGGCCTATTGACAGCTCCGACGATAAGTGAGTAAGTTATCCAAGGTGTTAACATCTCCAGATGTCAGGAGCTAAGCTAGGGGGGAGACTAACCTGTAGCCAGGGGCATCTTGGTCACGAAATGTTAAAGACGCAATGATACCCCCTATGCCGCCCATTGCAACCAGGGTAGCAGAGCAAAATGCACGCCTCCATTGTCCAACAATATTGTTTGCTTGATAGGTCATGCAGAGGGGGTTGTTGGCATTAGCACCACCGGACACCAGAAAGCAGCCGAAATATCGGATCCCGCTGTTTGACGTGAAACCCAGTAGGCCAATACCGATGATCATTAAGATGCAATTCATCACCATAAAAGGTGCACGAAGCTGCAGTCGGTCGGAGAAATATGCCTGTGCAATCCCAAGGACTGCAGAGAATGCTACACCCTGGATCGGATATTTCTCTTCTTAGCTGCCGTGAACCATTATGAATAGAAAGTGACAAGGACCGTACCGGAGTAGTAAGACATAATGATGCTACCTCACTGAAGCCGAGATCATTCTTCAAAATAGTAGGAAGGAAGTAGAGGGTGGCGTAGGTAACATTCGCAGTCACACCGAAATTTGCGGCAAAACACCAAATTTTCCAGTCCAGCGCGTTCGAAAGATATGGCAGTAACTGAAAGGCAGGAGTGTCAACATCGGACCGATCTTGCTGGATCCTCTCAATGACGATTTTGGCCTCTTCCTCATTCAGAAATTTCCAAGAAGTCGTTGCCTCCTCGGGAAAGTCAACAATTAAGAGAAATCCGAGTATTCCGGCCGCGCAGGTAACAATCCCTTCGATGATATAGACCCATCTCCATCCGGCACGGCCAGCAATTCCGTCCATCTGGATGAGCTGAACAGAAGTTAACGATGATTTCCAAAAATGTATGTTCAATATTATGATGTCAGGAGAGCTCGTTGTAATGGGACGAAACCTACACCATAGGCCAATATGCCTCCAAATCCAGAAATGAAGGTGGCCGAGAGATAAAACACTGCATTTCGTTTGGCCACTTCCCCTATGAAATAGTTAATAAAATTCAGTCGTGCGTAGCAGGAAGCTGTGAGGAACACTTGCTTCGAATATACCACGTGCTCACCAAGTAAACACAGCTCGAAAAATAACCAGCTTCGAGGATTCCGAGAATGCATCGGAGAGCAAGCATCGGTTTCCATGACTTGACGAGCCCTTGACCAACAGTGACAAGACCCCAGGCGACAACGATGAATGCAAGAAATCGACGGGGCCTTACTTTTCTTGCCATTACCGTCATGGGTGGTTGGAACACTATGTAAAAAGGGAAGAAGCAAAAAACCAGGAGGGACTATATGTCGCCAAGAAAAGTCAGCAATGACATTGAAAGGGCAAGACCTTGTCACGAACATAACGATTCCCCACAAGATCAAGGTCTTGTTTCATCCCAGCAACAATCCTATTATCATATGGCTTGTCAGTGTTGTGCTACAACTGGAAGTCACCGCGGAGATTTGAGAAGATAATCAATTCACAATATACACAATGGGGGCTCACGTAGACTGTTACTTTGTCAATTTTGCACTATCTAGCTCTAGGCCAAGGGGTAAGACATACAGAAAGATTGACACGGTCAATAACCGCGATTGTGTACAGCAGGCCGAGAACAAGGCATATCCTGCAATCGATCTTTCTTTTAATGGATTTGATTTTCGAGCTATAAGCGACACTGGCGTAGGTCGATTCTGCTCGGCCGAGTTCAGCTACATCTTCGGCGTGCTCGGGAAAAACATCACATCGTTTTTCTTCCATTGTATTTGGTGAAGAAAGCATCCGAGGAACGAAAATGAGATCAACAAAATAAGTTGGGTTTTTCGGTGTGATAAGATAATGAGCAAAGCCAAGCTTTTCAAAATGGCCGAGGGATAGGGCTTAGAAATACCCTGCGCCGCCGGCTCGACCTCCCGGCCGCGGCCGGCGAACTAAACCTCGGTTTATTGCGTCGAGCGAGAGATTATGTATTTAGAGTTGCATCACTTTTACTTTGATCTTTGGGGTTTTCTTTTATTGTTAGTATAGACCTAGAAGCCACAGTGTCTTTGTTCTAGGTTTTCCACGATTACCAAACTGCTCGTGATCCTGTGAACTTCATATCAGTATGGATTTAGGTAAGTCTAGTCCAGACTAAAAACCACCTCCAAATATCTGCATCTTGTTCATTGTATTATTCAAATGCTAACAAGTACAAAAGCGATAGCAACAGCTGGATTGACGGCGGGGTTGGCGTACCTGAATGCCAAACTAGGCATTGCAGATGACCTAAATCAACTGTACTGTGAATGGAAGGGAAATAGAGCGAATGACCTTGCAGGTAAGCCAAAATGGCATCCAATTCAATTCAGAAGATTTGGTTAATCAAAATGGCTATTAATCAGGCAAAACTGGGCGCGTGTCCCCTTGGTATCATTTCCAAGACCAAGTGAATAGAATGCCGGACGATGAGATCTGTATTTGGACATCAGAAATCCAGTATACATGGAAGGAAACATATCAGAATGCATGCCGATATGCTCAAATGTTGCTCGATTATGGCGTTCGACCAAATGAATTGGTCTCAGCATACATGATCAATAGGCCAGAGCTCATGTTCCTTGCCCTTGGGGCATGGGCAATCGGTGCGGCACCTGCCAATATTAACTACAACCTGAGCGGAGCTGGTCTTGTACATTGTTTGAAGATAAGCCATGCTAAGTTTCTCCTTGTGGATGGCGAGAGGGACTGTGTCTGGCGAGTTGAAGAAGTGAAGAGTCAGATACAAGGGGGAATTGGGAATGTCAGTTGTGATTCTCAATGAAGACAAACAACAAGACATTTTGAAAATGGAACCTATCAGTGTGGATCACAGATTAGCATCAGCAGCATCTCTGGACTCCACTTTGTTCTTGCAATATACGAGGTTGGTATTTCAGTTCTTTTCGAAAAATTTTGGCGGCGTAACGTTTGTTAATTGCCGGGATAAAGCACCAAAAGCGCCATACAAGCATGACGACTAACATAATTCTCATAGTGGATCGACCGGGTACCCGAAGTCTATCCCTTTCAGGAATCGAAGGGGATCTATGCTGATATATGGCGGCATGAAAACAACCATGGGCCTTAAACCTGGCCCCCGGGGGGACAAGTGGTATGTTCCGATGCCTCTGTATCATGGCACAGGATTTGTGATTGCCATCGCTTGTATGGTCAACGGGTTCACTCTATGTTTAAGCCGAAAGTTCAGTGTGTCACATTTCTGGCCTGAGATTCGGGAATCAGGAGCCACTGCATTCGTGTATGTTGGTGAGGCCGCTCGGTATCTTCTCACAAACCCTGCCACCAAGGAGGACAAACAGCACAATATTCGCTTGATGTGGGGTAATGGCATGAGACCAGACGTCTGGAGTCGATTTGTCGACCGATTTGGCATAGAGACAGTTGTGGAGTTCTTCAACAGCTCCGAGGCGATGTTGGCACTAGAAAACCGATGTTGTGGTAGGTCATTAACGTGGTACTGATCTGCTTTTCTGTACACGCTGACACTATTTCAGGCCCATACAGACAATTCGCAGTTGGATATCAGGGTGCCATCCGTCGTTTCCTGTCACGTAACTCTTACACTCCAGTGAAAACCAATATTGAGACTGGTGAGCTATGGAGAGACCCTCGAACTGGGTTTGCCAGAAGCTTGCCATGGGATGTTGGGGGAGAGATTCTGGTGAGATGCAAGACTGAAGATGACTTCGTTGGGTAAGACTATCCGCTACCATTTTTGTTCTAAATTCTGCTAAAGGTTCCTCCTAAAATATTTAGTTACTATTTGAACACTGAAGCATCAAACAAGCAGTTTGAGCGCAATGTGTTTAAGCGAGGGGATCTATATTATCGCACTGGAGATGCTTTGAGACGCACACAAGATGGAAGATGGTTCTTCTTAGACCGGTAAGATGGCTTATTGCACAGCGATCCTTGAAACTCTTGGTCTTACTAGTTCAATATCCAGGATGGGGGATACATACCGTTGGATGAGCGAAAACGTTTCCACAGCTGAAGTTGCTCAAGTATTGGGCCAATTTCCTGGCGTCGTGGAAGCCACCGTCTACGGTGTACATGTACCTGGGTACGATGGCCGGGCAGGATGCGCTGCACTTCTACTTGCTTCCGAGCTTCAAGATGACGGCCTTGACTGGACGGCATTTTTGCATCATGCTCGGTCGAGATTGCCTAAATACGCTGTGCCGGTGTTTCTACGCCTGCTTTCCAGTCCATCCTTAACTGGAAATGGAAAGCCGAACAAAGCACCATTGAAACGTCAAGGTATAGATCTGAAAGAGATTATGGCAGATGCTCAGGCAGAGGAAAAGCTTTCGGATAGGATGCTCTGGCTTCCCCAAAGTCTTGATTCATCAAGAAAGCATGGGTCCCAAGTTCTGAATAATCAGAAGCAGAGTTATGTTACCTACAATATGGGTGATTGGGACATGCTCGAACAGAATCAGCGAGGAGAAAGGATTTGATGGCATTGGCTCCTTGGTTCTGATAGGTCTGTCTTTTTTCAAAGACGAATCAATCTGTAATCATGCGGCAGTATTGAGAATGATATTTTATCTTACTGCAAACAAAGTGATCCCTCTGGATATCTACCAGAGAAGCTCAAGTATACCCGATATGGTATTTTGATGGTTGGGAATATGCCCAGAATTGACAAATCCCATAGACAATCTCTAGAGCGCAACTTGTATTATTGCAGCTTTGAGACCTATTATATGAATGCATGGCCATCAAAGATTGACCCAATCCCTTGTTCCCAATTCGGGAGAATGCTGATTGGCCACGTTAGTTTCAAGAAGGACTATTCCAGCTTTCTCTGACTTACTCTTCATTTGTCCATGGGTCCAGATTAAGGAAGCCAGTATCTTGAGAGAATAGTGGTGCATTAATCAAGTCCAGATCTGCAGACTGTAGCACTGTCTCATTCTGTCTCTCACGCGGCTCTGCAGATTCGAAATTTGCCATTGCAGTATCTGAGTCTCCACAGCCATCATCGTGTATTTTGGCATTTAAGAGCCCTTTTAACGCTCTTTGAACAAGATCAATAGCAATTGAAGCTGACCAAGAACTGTGACGAAGTTCCTCTAGGACTATTAAATGAAGATCTAGCTCGTGACGAGCATGCCTTCGTATCAAGGAATTCTCGGATTGGGCAAAGAAGAGATTCAGATGAATTGCGGGTTTCATGACCGTTATTCTGGAAGTTTATTCATTAGTATGCAAATTAAGACAGAAATTAATCGGAAAATAAATGATGAAAAGCGCACGCACATTGTAGACTCCAACCACCTAATTGAATCAGAAGCCGTTAGACGATTTAAAACAGCACCGATATTGTCAGCCGCGCGTTTTGCACTCTGTATCACTGACGTTCGCCATCGAGTACCCGTTGCGTGTGTGAGGTCCATGTCATAACAGATGAGATACGGTCGATATAAAATAATAAGGCTCGCTCTAGATCCTGGAATCAGAACGTAAATTCTGGTTTGTAGGGGGGTGAACACTGACTCATAATGTATTCTGACAAACCCAGCATTTTTGCGAACAAGGATGTCGGGGTGATTGTCATACTGTTGACATGCAATTCTGTGTAAGAGGATTTCTTGTTCGTCTCTCTCGACGCTGCCAAGGGGCGCAAGTCCCGCACGTGGATGGTAGTGAACCTTGACCATCATTGCCAAGGTAACGGAAAGCTTCAGTATGGAGCAAAATAGATGTGAAAGTGGCTCGCAATTTGCGGGCAGGTACGTTTCCTGCACGTTAAGTGGCAGGGTTGCTGTATCTGGCCATATCTCATCCGGTGTAGGAAACAGAACGTCGCAATGATCAATGTCAATTCTAACCGGTCGTCCAAATGCCACGCCATTCCAAATCTCGCGGTAAAGACAGCTCCACCAAATACGTCTCCATAGGCGTATTTGCGCGCGGTCAAACGCGGTTTTGGCTGCTTCACTGGATTCGAGATCGCGGTGAAGACCCATGGTTTGACAAAGACTGATTGCAACTCCAATCCAATGCCAGGGACCATTTCGATCCTCCGTGTCGGCGTACCAATGAGACATTAGAAGAACAGATTGGATAAGAGAAGTTTTGTCAAGTTCAAAATCCATATCATAAAGGCACTATAAGCACGATTTTAGTTGAGCTTTAAATGGGAAATTCGGTCCATGTATATTACCTTTGCTTTCTTGTAAATTGCATGTTTCATGGCTTTGTGAGATTGATATCCCGCTGCATCGACGGCTTTCTTTGGTAGAAACTAATGACTACTTTTTTAGCGGGTTCAAAAGACGTATCGAATCAAACTTACACCTGAGGCAACAAAGAAAATGCTCCAAAGGAGGAGAAGGCTTATTTGAGAAGTTCCAGATGCCATGTAGTTCTGTAAAAACGTGCTGGCCTCGATGATAGGAAACATGGGATGGACATAATAGAAATAACACTTTATGAGCTCGTGACGTAGTGATTCGGACGGAAGCGTGAAAACACCCTTCATTCTCAAGTAAGACATATCATCCGGATCAAATCTCTTGCGATGTACACGAGGTATGGGATAGTGGCTCCCTCTTGACTGCTCGGGCCGACATAGGTCAAGCATGAAGCCTAAGCCATGTTCTTCGCCTGCGAAATTTTTCCTCGTCAGCATCTCCTTCTACAGATCAATCCCCAAGAAAGTGCAGTCAATGTGTGTTTTTTGTGGCCTTTTCTAGTCACTCGCACTTTCTTTTGGGCATTGACAGGTTTGAGGTAATACGAACCAACGAAGAAAGGTACCACATCCGTTTGAAGTTCATCACCAAACGCCACATTAAACGCAGGTACAACGACGTCCCTTCCATCATCACACTGTTCGTGTCCCACACTGGGATCGGTTACAGGATCGGCCTGAGTGTAGATACCCGAGTGTGGGACGCAATGAGGAAGAGTCGACGAAAAAATGGACTGGTTTTCCGAGGACAGGCTGGTGTGACTCCCAATTGTCCGAGCCAGAGGAGAAGGCGCAGGTACTGGAGAGCATGACTCGATGGGTGTCAGGGTTCCGACGGGAGAAAAACCTGGTTCTAAAGTTGCATCGTTGTTTTTGCGCGCTTGTGTTTCTGGTGCGCGCTTGTGAGATTTACGCCTATAGACCCTGTGAGTGTTCCCATTCGTAGACAGTAATACACGCCAAGGCATGCTGCGTGTATCTACTCACACCAGTTTCTTGCGGCGAAATAGTTTGCATTCTGCGCCATCTGCCTTGCAATTGTGACAGACATTATCATCCTGACTGCGAATACACCTCACCTTTCGGTGATGACAGCGTTCACACGCCACGGAGGATCGCTTTCTCCTCGGCATTCTGCCCGTAGATTCTTTATCGATCGGGGGAGACATACTGCACAATAGTAGCGTGCAAACAATCTGGTTGGAAGTTATCTTCAGGCCATAGCAATCAATGCCTATGCGATAAAGAAAATGATGAGCTGATAATCGTGGCCTCTAGGATTGCGGGGTTAGTTGCATAATCACTCCCAAATTACCCCAAAGATTGTGTGGGGAAGCTATGCAGGGCCTCCCTCCAAGCCTATGGTGGGGAGCCATGATAGGACCGACTTTGCCGAGTAAACCTCGGTTCGGTGTCCCACTCGCTAGCGTCAAGGAGCCCATCTTGGCCGTGGGATTTCAAGAAATAAAAATAAAAATAAAAGAAAAGCCGAAGCAATGTGCCATAGCTCGGTTAAGTCTGATGATTTACATGCCGGAGTAAAGAGGCAAAGAGAGAATCCCTTGCTAGAGATGCATTGATTCCTCTAACCCCCGGACCTAACTTTTCAAGGCCATACCAATCCCAATGAAGGGGTCTTGGGGGATCTATTCTATGAAGCGCTGGAGGCATTGAGAAAAATCGTTGTTTAGATAATTTATGTATCTATGTTATTCCTCCGCAAGATCAACCTAGGTCCATGATGGAACAAGCTTTCCACAGACACGCTCCGCAACTCTGATTGGTAAAAGATCCTCATAGATATGTCCCAACCACTCACACAACAGGGGTCTTGTAAGAGCCGGATCTATAATTTCCTCGATGTTAAAGGCATTCGCGGTTCGAACAGGGTTCATCAACAATCGATAGTCTTGATCCAGCTCCCGGTATTGTTGATCACGGGCATCCTTACCCTGTTTCCTCTCGGTTTCGCTCAGTTCATGTCTGTGCGCCACTTCAATGCCGCCGTCGAGTGGAACGCTTCCCCATTCTCCCGACGGCCAAGCCACACGCATACGTGGATCTCGCGAGTCTACCATGAGCCCGCCAGCGACACCATAGACCTTCCGTAGGATAACATTGAATATCGGTACAGTCGTAGCGAAGTAAGTGGTTCCCAGCTGAACACCATATCGCATAACAGCACTGCGCTCCGCAGCCGTTCCGATCGCGTATCCTGGTACATCCACGAATTGGACGATGGGCAGGTTGAAAATGTCACAGAATTTGAGGTGACGAGTCACCTTCTGTGCCCCGAGCGCATCTATAGCCCCCGCATTTACTGATAAGACAATACGTGGTCAGTCACAGGGCCATCCAGGTTTGGGGATCCTTAAGCTGTCTTAGGCAGTAGACGGTAACTCAAGAGGACATTGGAATACCTTCACAGTTCGAAGCAATAATGCCCACTGGTCGTCCGTCAAAGCGGGCCAAGCCCACAATGGTGGTTGTTCCCCAGAGAGCTCCAATCTCGAACCAACTTTCTTTGTCAACAACGGCCTTTATTATCCTGCGAGGATTGTACATGCGCTCTCTTCGACGGGGAATTATTGAGCGCAGTTCAGAAGATATCCGACTGCAGGGATCACTGCACGGTGTAACGGGAGGCAGGTGAGCTCCAGAGTTAGGAAGGTATCCCAGGACAGTCTTGATCTGCTCGAAGCACCCGGCTTCGTTTGCCGCCAAGTTGTCGATGGTACCATTTGTGCAATGAATAGCTGGGCCTCCCAGTGTCTCTTTTGTCAACCCTTCCTCGAATGTAGCGCCTTACAGGAATTAGCCTTCTAACAACACTGAAAACTGCAGCGCACATCTGAGCGCCAGGCTGTGGAATGCATACCAGCAACGATCTGCGGTCCAGCACTAAACAGACTCCCAATATCACCTGCCATGACCGTGAAATGGCATGCAACTAGTCGGGCTGCGCCGAAACCGATGGCCGGTCCGAGACAGGCCCCAAGGTTAGGTATTCCTTGATTGAGCTGTTTGATAACTGGTTGCAGGTAATGCATTGGGGGCACATAGGACCACCCCTCGGATTTGATGGTAGTAACCGACCCACCGCCAGAGGAACCATCAGTCAATTTGATGATTGGAAGCTGCAAGCTGTGGGAAAGTTTTTCCATGTAAACCTTCAAGAAGATAATAAGCCGAAATTCACAGGTACGGATCTATTTATGTCATTCTTACCGTTTTATCCATCAAGGCACCATCAGCATGGCCCGCTCTCAGTGTAAAGTCATCAGCGGTGAGGACGACTCGCCGTCCCTCAATTCGTGCAAATCCTGCGGTATATTAGCATACGATCGAGTCACACGCTTAATAATATATAGGGTTACCTTGCACATTGTTTGAGGGGGTGAACTTCACCACTTCCTCTCGCGTTTCTGCGAGTCGCCTCCACTCTGTTGTGCCAGCCACACTTCCAACTTCGTAGAAACTTCCAGCATCCACAAGCTGTCCAATTCGCTCTCGAACCCAAAGTTTTCCAGCCCCCTTTGACGGATATAACCCCTGAGGTTAGGATCTGGAGTCGAAGCAATGCTGCGAATCTGATCTAACTGGGATGTGATATCGGAATAATCGCTGGGTAGGGGGGCGGGACGATTGTTAGGCCCTGGAGCCGGTGCCGGCATTAAATGACCAGAAACCAAAGACAGCCTTGATGTACTGCAGGCATTGTCTTGGATGCCAATGTCTAACTTTTTATCATCTGTTGGCATGGCTGATTGCGCGTGGGCTGGGTTGTGTTCTAAAGATTCGTGGGACACTTGATTCAAAGGCGTGCATGTACTAATCTGAACCTGCAGTTTATTATGTATAAAGCTTCAGAACCTCGGTTGCGCGACGTAAACGCGAAGCTGAGCAAACGCGGCCGTGGCCATTAAGCCGCGGTTGAATCGACACCACTGAGCCGCGGGAAACAACACTAACAGGTACTAACTGCTACCGGATGTGCTTGAAGAAGGATAAACGAGGTCTGTTGTCCTCGGTGCTCAGCGGCATTACAGGTCTTTGATTTTATTTAAATTGCAGGTCTGAACCTGTTCTCCAGCGCAACAATTGACCGACAACCACAATGGAAAAGAATCTAACCAGGCCCTCAACTCGACCCATCCGGCGCTTGCTGGTTGCAAATAGGTACTACCCTCATTTCTTTCCACCAGTTCTGCGCTTTGTTTCACATCAAACAAAACTGACTGATTTAGGGGGGAGATTTGCACTCGAATAATCGCCACCGCTCGCGAACTAGATTTGGAGACCTTTGCCGTGTACTCGTCGGGAGACTCATCTCATGCATGTGAAGCAACACATGCTCTCTGTCTATCATCAACCTCCTCTTATATGAATATTGATGAGCTCATCGGACTTGTTCGCAAACACAACATAGATGCAGTGCATCCAGGCTATGGCTTCCTATCCGAGTCGGATACTTTTTCTTGGCGAATGTGGAACGAGGCAAATGCCGTAGTAATCGGCCCCGGTTGGGAAATCCTCTCCAGAACCGGCGATAAAGCCAAAGCTCGGTCATTGGCTATCGAATGCAAGTCTACTTCCACTTGGCTTGGTGAAATGTCTCTAACATTTGAATTTTCTAGGTGGTGTTCCAGTGGTACCGGGGCTCGATACGGCAACCGACGACGTTCAGGTCATCAAAGATTTCTCCCGCCAAATTGGCTTTCCCATCATGATAAAAGCCGTGGATGGAGGCGGGGGCCGAGGTATCCGGTTGGTTGAAAAGCCAGCAGAGCTTCCAAACGCAACCATGAGAGCGATAAAAGAAAGTCCATCCCATCGGGTTATTGCCGAAAAGGCTATAGCCAACGGATTCCGTCATGTTGAAGTCCAAATAATTGGAGACGGACAAGGAAACGTCTGTCATCTCTGGGAGCGAGAATGCAGTATTCAAAGACGGTATCAGAAGATAGTGGAATTTGCCCCCAGTCTCTTCAAGAACCGAAATCTCGTGGACCGTATCGTTCAAAATGCGATGACCATGGCAAAAAAGGTACGTACAATCCTCACTTTGTCTCCGTCATATAATCAGTGTCTGACACACGTCAGATGAATTACTTTTCCCTTGGGACCTTTGAATTTCTCATCAATGAGGAATCAAACCAGAGCTACTTTTTGGAGGTCAACCCCCGACTTCAAGTCGAACATACAGTTACAGAGTCAATCTCAGTAATCGACATTGTCAAGGTCCAGCTTCTACTTTCGCAAGGTGCTTCTCTAGCTGAGGCAGGGCTATTGAGCAGGCCAAACTTTGAGGCACCGCCACCGAGGATCCATTCAATCCAACTGCGTGTGACTGCGGAAGATGTTCTCAAGAATTGGTCTTTGAGCATCGGAAATATCTCCTCGTTCCAGCTGCCATCCGGCAACGGTGTGAGAGTAGACACAAATTTGAGGCAAAATGAGCCTTACGTTGTGACCCCCGACTTTGATAGTTTGCTCGCCAAAATCATCGTGACTGCTAGCTCATGGGAGGACACGATTCGAAAGGCCAAGCGTGCTCTCGAGGACACGGCAATAGTCGGAATTGAGACTAACATCTCCGCACTCCGTGCAATTGTTTCTCATCCTGACTTCGCGGCAGGAGCTTGTGATATTCGATGGTTAGACAGTAACCAGGCAGAAATCAGGAGCTTTGTTTCTGCTGCAAGCCACACAGCGGCACCCGATCCAATAAAGCCTCACTCAGGAAGTCGAATGAGCGTTCCTAAAACTTCCAGTCCCGATCGACCCGTCAGTCACCAGGGACAACATAACGATTCAACTCACATTTTAATTCCATTTCCCGGCAAGCTTCTTGAGATTCTTGTCTCTCCGAATGATATTGTGGATGAGGACAGTATCATTTGCATTGTTCAGCAGATGAAAATTGAATTAGAGATCAGGGCGCCACGGGCGGGGCGTGTGGTATGGATCATGGATGCAGAGGTGGGCACAACTCTCACAGAAGGGACTTTGGTCGCTATTGTGGAGCCAATGCAGAGAGAAAAGAAGCTTTGAATTGGTTTTAGATAAAATTGCTTAGAATTTATTCCTAAGAATTGCAAGAGGAGATGCCACTCAGATATAATTATCTTCGCTGGAACATTAGTCTCGGTACCTTGAGATTTTTTCATTTTATTTAGTGTATCGTCACCTTCACACTTCGGGTTGTCGTGTCGAGCAACCGAACTCTCGGCTTTCTAGCCGATCCACGTCGGTTAGTGGCACTATGTGATTTGGGGCCCATATTTCGTGATCCGTTAGGCCTTGTAAGCTTGTACGTACTAGGTTGATGAAGTGAGCCGTGTTCTCGCGAAAAGCGATTCGCATTTTATTCACATCTCTATACTTGAATCTATGTTTTCCACGTCAACTAAGAAGGATTGTTTTTGCTCGGATATATACGTCGGACCGTAGCGTAAGTTATAAGTCTCGTATCTAGGTAATAATTACAAGATCATCTCTAACTAAACCTCCTCTCATGGATACCCCGCACTGTCAAGGCTGATTAGACGTCGACCTACTTATACCGCGCAAGTTCCACAAGCAATTGCGTGCTCCGCCGCTTTCAATACTTAAGCTAAGTGCTGAATCCGAGTATTCGACTCAACCTGTCTTAGCTGTTACGCTACTCTATACCCTTTCATTGTTTTCGTTTTGTGCCTATTATCCTCATGGCTCCTGGAATCCAAGATTCTTCCCTTCCCTTGCGCTCCGCGCCCAACTCTGACCGGGTCCAATATCCTGCGCCGTTGAAGCTTAGCGGTGCCTTGGATAAGTTCTCGTTCGAAGACACAACGCCAGTTATTGGCCGCGAGTTTCTCAACGTCAACATTGTTGATGATCTATTGAACGCCCCAAATGCAGACGATCTGGTCCGGGACCTTGCTATCACAAGTATGTAGAGGCTGCCAACCATCCAGTTAGTAATCCAGATTCTGATCATGCATTTTCTAGTCTCTCAACGGGGTGTCGTTTTCTTTCGTGCCCAAGATAACCTTAACGATGACCTGCAGAAGCAGCTGGTGCATAAGCTAGGGCAGCTAACTGGCAAGCCAGCCGACTCAACTCTGCATATCCACCCGGTGCTCAACAACACCAACGAATTCGGTGTCAACGATGCGCAAGTCAGCTCCATCAGCTCGGTCGCCCGCAAGAAGATGTTCCGTCATGAAACCCAGCGCAACAAACGTCGCTACGATTCGGCTCAGTGGCACTCGGATATTCAATTCGAGCCCTTCCCGGCAGACTACACTTCGCTCCGGCTAACCCAGCTGCCGAAAACTGGTGGTGACACCCTCTGGGCGTCGGGCTATGAGCTCTATGACCGGTTCTCAAAGACATACCAGAAGTTCTTCGACAGTCTGACTGCAACCTATATTGGCTCGGGCTTCCTCGAGGCTGTTGAAGCAGACCCGGAAAACGTCTACGTCCATGCTGAGGCACGGGGTAACCCGCAGAATGTTGGCAAGGCGCTGACCGCGGTTCATCCTATCATGCGGACCAACCCTGTGACGGGTTGGAAGAGTGTGTGGGCTGTTGGGCCATTCCCCAAAGAAATTAACGAGCTCAGCCTGAACGAATCGGACGAGCTGCTGAAGAAATTCTATAATACTATCCTCGAGAACCACGACCTCCAAGTGAGGTTCAAGTGGAGAAACCCGAACGATATTGGTAAGTCGCATTAACTTGCATCGTTATCCATTTCTAACCGACTTTTCTAGCAATTTGGGACAACCGTTGCGCTTTTCACACTGCCACATTTGACTACGAAGGACTTGGAGAGCGATATGGCCACCGGGCGGTTGGCATTGGCGAGAAACCGTACTTGGACCCAAACAGCATGTCGAGGGCGGAGGCACTGGCTGCCGGAGATGCTTGAATGAGCTCAATTCGGGCGGGATAAGCTAAAGTAAAGGATTCAAAGCAGAAATTCACGGTAACTTTAAACGTGATTGCTTGCCATCTACTAGCATTATTGTTGGGGCATATGAATGTCAATACTAGCTAGCTATAGTATAGTAAATTATCCTCGACATATTAAATTCATTTACTGATCACCCTGAAGGTTTACTCCGTCTTAAGTGAACAGGTCCCTATGTGTCCAGCCTTCTGCCGCAATCAATCTTCCTTTCCTGGTTTCCTAGTCAAGATTAGTTCTGCACACAAACACTTCATGCCCAAGAAGTCAAGAACAAGCAGGAGAACACTTACATCGATCCAACTAAAGATTCATTTCTTTTCCTTTGTAAACCCTTCGCCAACAACCAGCGTACCTGCTTTGCTGATAGCTGACTCTGCCGACTCCGTCTTATAACATATTGAACCTGCTTCAGTCTCCGCATATCGTCGTTCACGAAGTTGCTGGACCTGGCGTTTGATGAATTTCCACGCATCCGCCGCAAGCTGAATGTCGCTGCGTGGGAGGGGAGTGACAGGTGCGGTGGGCGGTCGCTGGATGGTGAAGGGCGCCATTATAGTGTTGTCGTATATATCAGATTGAATGAGATAGCCAGGTAATGTATATCTGGCACTTATTGGAGTAAATATCAAGTCAGAGTAAGATGAGAGCGTGGGATAGTAATCACAATCCCGATACGAAAGATATAGATTGATGTAGAATCCCTTAGCTCACCAAGAACCTGTTCGTTTCTTATATATAGGCAAGGTAGCCTAATACTCGGGGTTCAACTCCGGATTGAATAGCTTCACTCCGACTCCGACAAACACTCGCTTGTTAGCTGGACATTGCTGTGCGGAGTTGGATTCTATTAGTGTGTGCCAGTGTGCAAGTCTAAGTACCCTCTTACTGTTGAGCTATGACCCTTTTGACTGAATACCTTCGGGCTTGAACCCCGAATGAACTCGGAGACGATTTAGCAACACTCACCCCCCAACAGAAGAAAAGAAGGGAAAAAATTAACGTGCGTTCGCTTTTTTCTCTGAGAGTTAAAGATGGACCCAAATTAATGCTTTATTCAAAAGAAATGCAAAGATCGTCGCGAGACTCCGGCCCTGAACGCGAAAAGCCAAATTCATAGCACTTACGCTACCCCGACTCCGACCCCAACCCCGACGCCGGACCCCGACTCCGAACTCCCCATCGACACGCTGAATCGAGTCGCTGCCTCGTCAGCCGAGTTTGTTAATTATTAGATTAAAAACTGATCGTACATGGTATCAAAACACTCCCTGTATTGGTAATTCGAAGCATAACGATCGCGCAATTAACCTTCAAATTTTCCTATCCATTCCTTTTATTCTTAGCTGCCTCTTAGAGACAACAATATCTGTTGGCGCCGCGCCCAAGCCCTTCGATGGAAAGTTAGGAAAAGTCTGATTTAGTAGCTATATAGGTTATCCTCTCGGACTGAGTGTGACGGGTCATAGCATATCCGAAGAGAAATGGACTAGGAGCTGGCGGTGGAGACACGAGAGTTAGTGTAATTCCCGACTGACACCTGCTAACTTGATGTGTTAGAGCCGAAGATCATTGTTCTTAATATTGATTACGCTTCTCCATGGCGTAATCATCCAGTTGCTTGACACTGTTCCAAGAACAGACACATTTAGTTATGGTGTCTGTTGATCGCTCCGTTGGGCGGTCGGGGTAAATAAAATCATCCATCTATCCATCGAATGCAAAGCCGGGACACAATAACATATTGCTGTTAGGCCTTTGTTAACTCCCGTGAATATAGAAAATCTTTGCACATCGTTGAACCGACCGAGCAAGGAGAAACTCGCCTAGCAATCAGTGTCTTTTCTTTATGAATAAGCTGTTGCTAATCAAAGGTCAATCTTCCGCCCTCATGTGGTAAAAGACTTCAAGGCACACCCATCTATTTCAAGGCCTCGATGGACTTTGTGGCTGAAAGTGCGAACAGACATCCAAATGCATCAGAGTTGACTGGCCAGCGATCCAGATCGTCGACCTTACACTTCCCAATTCAGCGTGTCAATCCACCTGATAAATTCGGTCCCGTCATTCAACCACTCGTCATTCAGCCAGTCCATCGGGATTACGTCGTTCGGCACCGGGGCAACCGGCTCGGTGGCATCCACGCGCGTGGAGAGTACGTGATCCAGAATGTACAAGATGGCCTTCCGACCCCGTTGGCAGACCTCGTAATTGCCCTGCTGGGGCACGATGATGTACTGAATATGTGAGGCGAGGATACTGAGGTTCTGGATCACTTCCGAGCGGGGGAAGGGCCTCTCGTTCGGCCGCGGGTGGGGGTTTTGACTGCGGCGCAGAAGTTCAATGGCGAGGATCCCGGCCGAGGGTAGGCCGAAGTAGGGGATCTATAATGTCAGCATGGGACAATATCGGTGTGCTGATAGAACAAGGGCGAGGATACCGTCCATCCGAGACTGTAAGGTTTGCCGCATCGTTGACTGATAGCAATCTGGGCAAGGATTGCCTTGAGCATCTGGTTTGCAAGACTGACTAGGGTTTCGGACTCCCCCACGGACCGCTTGACGAGGATGCGCTGTAGGAGAAAGTCGCTGTACAGCAAATCGAGATGCAGGTAGACGGCAAATGTGCTGGTCAGCCGCATGGTGGTTTCGGTGCTCCCGTCCCACTGCAGGTAGGATGGAATTTCATTACGCACCTGCTGGGCCAGAGACGAAACTTCACTGAAGGGGAATTAGCTGGGTATCTCAGTGGAGTGATGACGAGGAGCATACTCGACGCGTTGTTGAATATCATGATCCCCGGAATCGAGAGAAAGTTCTAGTACAAGTTCACGGACGTGGCCCAGGAGCACCGCCATCCGACACCACGAAGTGCCTTTGATGAGCGCCTTAGTGTTCCAGCCATTGGCGTCCAGTTTGTGGATGGCGGCCACGCGCACGGCTGGCTCGGCGAGCACTTCGGCCGGTTCCAGGTCCAGAGGCAACTGCATGCGACAGAAGCGATAGGCGATCAGCGGAGGACAGCCGAGAAACGTCGCCAGCTCCTTGTCAAGGGCATAGGCGGACGCCATGAGCCGCTTCCGCCCTTCGGCAAGGAAGAAGGGCAGATGCTCACCGGCATCGAGCTGGTGATAGCCAATGGCGAAGAGGAGAGTCGAGAGTTCTCCGAGGCGTTTCCGTGGCCGATAGTCTGGTCATTAGCTATCATCCCCTCTCGGTGCCTGAAGAGACATACCATAGTCGCCACAGACCAAGGTCAGCAGATGGATATGTCGAATCAGGAGCCAGCCGAGGGTGTCGCTCATTACGCCCATGCTGTCGCAGAACTGCAGACACTGGTCGCCGCCAGCAGTGGCCAGGATGCCTAGGTTCTTGTGGTCGTTTGCGGTGAGGCTTAGGCCGTGGAAGGTCGCGTCGTCAAGGGTCGTGTGGGCGGCGAATACGCCGGACATGGTGAGGATGAAGCCGATGACTTCCCAGCGGCCTGCGAGAGCAACGAGATACTCATCGAGAGTCATGGTCGCGTGCGTGATGAGCTCACGGGCGGTGCCCTCGAATAGCCGCCGCGAAAGTGCCAGCAGCCGCGACTGCGGGTCCAGATGACCCGGCACGCTGTTATACATCCCCTCGACGAGGTCGCAGAGGGTACGGACGGTCGGCAGGCCAAGGATGCCCTCGCCAATGTGCTCATCGCAGGCTATGGCCGTCCGGCAGTACAGCCCAAAGTCGTCGAAGAGCAGCGACAGTAACTCTGCGCCTAACTGCGCCTGGTGGTCGTCGACCGCGTCGGCGACATCGGGCAGTCTGACCTCCGGCAGCCGCAGCGGCGTGATAGACGAGTGTTGCTTCAGACTGGCCTCGTTCTCGCTGTAGACTGCCGAAAAGCTCGTTGGCCCCAGGAAGCTTGGAGTGGAGTTCAGGGCCAGCCGGTGACTCCAGTTCTCGATGTAGCGGTCTCGCACGGCCAACGGCGGGCCCGCCAGCGATCGGGGTCCCGGCGGAGCGTGCACCGTCACTTGTGGTGTCGGAGACATGGTCGCGGGGGTTGGGGGCGTCGCCGCAGCAATGTCTGCCATCGACTGCCGGGCCCGTGTTGGGTTTACCCTGTACACGCAGGCAGCTGCCTTGTCCTTACGGCGACACCGTCCACAAGTGGGGACTATGTGGTCGCAGCGGAGCTTGCCTCGGCGACACGGCTCGCACGACGACAAGAGGCCGTTGTGCCGGCGCATCGTGATGTGACGCCGCTGGATGGTACTGTGAAACGATAAATGGATCAAAAATCACTGAAGCGTCCAGAGCTGGGGGAAGGAAGCCAGAGTCGAAATCGCTGACATCGGAGTCGGAGTGGGTCTTGGTCGGGAGGTACTCTACAAGACATCGAAGGTTGACTTGGAGGACCTTTCCTTGTGATTCCCGCAAGAACACCCCAGCAGACTCTAGTCATATCATATGCATTGGTAGTACACCCCAGTTCTGCAGCGAGGACTTTTTTTTTTTAACCATAGGCTCAGGCATCGCATCCGATGTCACACCCACGGCTGATATAATCCTTATTGAATGATGGCAGCCACGACATGGTCACATACGGGGTCCAATTGACGGTCATAGAGCAAGTGCAGATCCTTTTGCAGCGGTCCAGGCGAACTAGAGAGGTGGCATTAAGGTATTAAGGAGCGATGAAAATTAGGAACAGATTTTCAGGCTCCAGGAACCAGGCAATCCACCCTCGGAAACACCCGTAGTGGCCTGCACGACGTATATCGCCGAAGTCTAATGTACTGTATAACTACGGCGTTCGTGTACAAGTCGATAAATCTACTATGAGGCCTGTGGAATACGGCAAATACCTAGGTGGGCGGCGGGGAATATTGGATTCGCCCTGACATCTTTTCCTTCAGCAGATAAAATCCTCACTGCAGAGCTGAGAGAGGCTATGGTATTACCAAATGCACGTAATATGACTCTCCGAGAGAGTGCGACGAGATGTGGTGATGTACGTGTGGCGTATAGTCTGCCGAGCATATAGCCGACTCCCCACTGCCGAGAGACCCGGATTAAGATATTGCGGGGTGCATTAAGTGAAGAGAATACTCTGATCTGACAAACAATTCCAACCGCCTCTTCAATTTCCGATAAATAAAAATGGGCGAGACACGGACCGAACATCTTGCGCGGTACGCTGCCAGCCTACAATACGGCGACATCCCGGCGCCCGTGGTCCAGCGCACCAAGGAACTGTTTTTGGACTGGCTGGGCTGTACCATCGCAGGACGCCACCATCCTGCAGTCGCAGCAATTGTGCGATATGCAACGCAAATGGGCCCTTCATCAGGGAAGAGCGAGTTGGTGGATGGATCCCTTGGATTCAGCACCAGCCCTGCCTTTGCCAGTTTGATCAACGCGGCCGCTTCGCATGTCGTTGAGCAGGATGATCTGCACAATCGAAGTATCATGCATCCGGTATGTCCACTCTCAGTTGATTCTATGCGCGTATCTGACTTGAATCTAGGCAACGGTTATTTTCCCTGCTGCTCTTGCTGTGGCGCAGGACATCGGTGCCAATGGCCAAGATTTCATCACGGCCTGTGTCGTGGGTTATGAAGTTGGATGCCGTGTAGGAGAGTTCTTGGGGAAGAGTCATTACGAGGTAAATGGAACCTCTGTATGGCAACAGAAATCAATTTGTCTGACAAGAATCTAGAACTTCCACATGACTGGCACGGCGGGCACTGTTGGCGTTGCAGCCGCAGTCGCCCGGCTGCTGCAACTAGACAACGAAAAGATGTTGTCCGCAATTGGCTCAGCAGGGACCCAAGCTGCAGGTCTTTGGCAGTTTTTGATGGATGCAGCCCACTCCAAACAAGTACACACGGGCAAAGCTTGCTCCGACGGTATCTTCGCAGCATACACTGCGCGCGACGGCCTTCTAGGGCCCCGAGATATCCTCGAGGGCCCGCGAGCCATGGGAGCCGCACTCGTCCCAGGGAAGACAAGCCCGGAGGCAATTGATCAGAACCTGGGAGAGGATTTTGCTGTCTTGCGGTCCAGTTTCAAGTGGCACGCCTCGTGCCGCCATACACATCCCAGTGTTGACGCGCTGTTGAATCTGATGGAGAAGAATAATGTCACCTTTGATGATATTGAGTCCGTCGTTTCTCGCACATACCAGGCTGCGATCAACGTCCTGGGTATGGGTGGTCCCGGGGAGACTGTGCACCAGAGCAAATTCTCCATGGGTTTCGTGCTGGCCGTTGCAGCGAAGAAGGGCCATGCGTTGATCACAGACTTTACCGAGGCAGACTTGCACGATGCGTCTCTGCGCGAGTTCCAGAAACGCGTCACGATGGAACTGGATGCGGATATTGATGCTTCGTTCCCGCTGAAATGGCGGGGGTTGGTTATCGTCACCACGAAGTCGGGCCAGACGTTCACGGAGTCTGTTGAGTTTGCTAAGGGGGATCCGGAATTCTCTCTTACAAGGTAACTACCACTGTCTTCCTCCAAGAGATCTGGTTTGATGAATTGACCCTTCTTCTCTAAGGACTGAACTCGAGACAAAGGCTCGATCTTTGGCTACCTATGGCGGATATACCAATACCAGCAGAATCGACCAGTTAATTGGACGGGCCTGGAATTTAGAGAACGAACAGATCTTGACGGGCTTCGTGTTTTAGTGTATATAGCAAATCATCCATAGTGAAGTATAGAATGTCGGGCTCAACCGTATCGTCTGCCGTAGGCTCGTGCGTCATTGCCACCATAATCAGATCGACTTTGACTTCACCACAACATCAATAAATCCATGAGGCTCCCCTGGCTTCCAGCGCCACGAACTGCTGCGCCACTCCAGTTCCTATCTCCTCCTTGCAGGCAAGCCCGAGGAATCATGACAGGATCCAAACCGGACCCTCGGAATAATAAAAGCAACAAGAGCAGAGGCGCCCCGAAGCGGCCGCCTCTAACCCATTTCCTATGCTTGCCCCTGGTAAACACAACATCGCTGCCCCAGCTAGAGAGCTCCCTAGCTGCATTCAAAGCGGCCCATCCACCAGTCCAGGTCTCGGCTCTTCCCATAGCTCAAGGTGGTGACACAGACGGCAATGGCTCAGCATCATCCATCCCTGACGGAGCATTGCGCCCGGTCGGCACGCTGCATCTGACTCTCGGAGTGATGAGTTTGCCAAGTAAGGAGCAATTTGATGAAGCTGTGGCCTTTTTTCAGGGTCTTGATTTGGCTAGCTTGATGCGCGAAGCGGAGCGTGTTGCCCGGGGTCAGAAGCAAAAAAGCCATGAAGAACAGTTATTGGCCGCGACTACAACAGACACAGAAAATGATTCTCCGAATTCAGAACCAGAGACCTCTTCTCCTCTGTCTCCGCTCAATGTTTCGTTGGAGTCGCTGCATGCGCTTCCGCGCGCAAAGGCCGCTACTGTCCTGCACGCTTCGCCCGTGGATCCGACAAGACGCTTATATCCGTTCTGTGTGATGTTGCGTGATAAGTTTATTGAGGCTGGGTTTTTGGTCGCTGAGCAGGCCAACCCACAGCCGAACCAGAACAAGCAGCAACAACAAGTACAAGGAGAGCAACCCGAATCCTCTGCCAATGCCCCCGACAACGAATCCCTCCTGGAAGAACTTCCCATCGACCTAGCAGAAGACCCAGGCACTCAGCAAAAACCACTAGGAACACATCAAAACCACCCCACTCCACCGCTGGACCCCTACACCACAGCTCTAAGACGCAAACCCAAACCGCGTCCGCTCCTTCTGCACGCCACGCTCGTGAACACGATCTACGTGCGCGGCGGCCACGGGAGAGATGTCGGGCGTGAACCAGAAGCAAAACGACAGAAATTTAAGCAACATGGGGGTAGAGCAAATCGAGACAGATCTTGGAATAAGAGTAATAAGAGGCTTGCTATCGATGCTCGTGACTTGATCGCGCGGTATTCGGATTACTATGCCGATGCGGAGCGGACGATTGCGCGTGTGTATCATCCTGGTGCTTCTTCGCCTACGAGTATACCTGCGTCTAGATCTTCGTCTCCTCAATATGATGAGGAAAGAAGAAAGGTTGAAGGGGTATCGGAGAGCACAGCTGAGCCTGCTGCTGGGTACACTCCTCCTACTCCTACTACTGCAGCTTCAACTGCAACTAAAACCTCATCACCAAAATACCCCTTCGTCTGGGCACACAATATCCCGCTAAACTCGGTCTGCATCTGCGAAATGGGCGCGAAAACCCTCGTGGCAGACAAAGCAGAGAATACGACATCCTTGAATGCGCGTCTGGGTGCCAAGTACACCGTTGTCGCGGAGCGGAGTCTGGACTTCTCTCGTGGATCTACGTCAGCGCCGGTGGCTTCATCGGCGGAGAAGACGGGGAGTGAGACCGATGATAGCGCAGAAGGGGGTGTACAGTTGCATTGAAGGTCTATGTTCTGGGTTATGTATGAACTACAGCAACCAAATGTATTATAGGAGAGGATTTGTAAATTAATTTCATTCGAGGCACGACAACGTACAACATCGCCATCCCAAGCCTGCTCGAGATGGATGTGAGCTGATCTATTATATCCTTTCTTAGTCGGCAACTCTTGTTGATGGCCACTTGCCTTGGTTCGAGCCCGACACTTCCGAACCCCATCGGAGAGGGAGCAGTTGATCGTAGGCTAGAAACCTCCGGGTATATCCGCCTTGTTCCTGGCACAGGATCCGAGGAATACTCCCAATCCGGTGCAGAGTAGTTGCTCCGGGTAAGTGAGGAAGTGGTCAACCGAATGCGCCGACGACAATCCGTGCTTCGTTCTTCCCATTTCAATTCGAAGCCGAGATTCCCATTCGTGACAATGGCATGCATCATCACCTCACGCGGCTCATAATAGTCTCCATCCCCCGCTCGACCGACAGCTCCGCAGCCTTGGCCTTAACAGAGCTTACCATACTGCGCTCAAAGTCATCGCGAGTCCGCAGCACAGCTTCCACCCACGACAGCTGCAGATCCCAGTACTCGACCTTGAAAGACTCGTAGACCGTGACGATAGGCTGGCCCTTCTCGGCCTCAAGCAGGCGCACCAACCAGTCGACAAGACGCCAATTCTGCTTGATGGTCGCGGCGAAGGAGTCCGGGTATTTCTGGAAAAAGGCAAACACGGTGAGCACGTCGTCCTTGAATTTGTCCGTGTAGGGATCGGCTTGGCGGCGGAATTTCACGCCGCGGTTGCGCACGGCTGATAGATATCGGACTAGCAGCTCGTCGGATAGCTCCTCCACCAAGATGTCAACCAGGGATGGGTGCAGCACGGGCGTGTAGTCGGCCATGTAGTCCTCGAACGTAGAGGTGATGCGTTTCATTGCGTACTCGCCGTACCACTTTGGTGTGAAGAAATCCGGTATCACGGTCACCAGGTCCACGGAGAAGACAATGGCCACAAACTGCGCCAGGCAGTGCGTGCTGAGGTCCACGTATCCGTCGCGTAACGCGTCCAGCTCTGATATCGCCCGCGTGGCCATGTACTTTGGTGCCACGAGCGGCTCGAGGTCGCGCTTGAATCGGGTCAGGTAGCCCATCTGGCCAGAGTCTTCGTCGTCGTCAATGCAGGCGATTTGGTCGTTGGCCACTCCGATCAGCCAGTCCTGTAGCAGCTGTATGCCCTCGGGGTGATCACCACCAGAGGCCTTGTGCTTGGCGCACTCCTCGTCGATAAGCGTTTGCCACGCACTCTGTCTCGTCTTCAAGGCACGGAACATGGCATCGATAACACCTTCGACAACGTCGGATCGGTCGGAGGCCCCAGACGCTACAACCTGTTCGTGCAGCATGCGCCACATATCTGGCAGTGTCTTGGTGCGGAAATATCCGTCGGCGTTGGTATCCAGGGCATCTGGAGCCCGCTCCACCAGGCTCTTCTTGTCGGTCTCGAAGATGCGTTCCATCCATTCCTCCACGGCATTGATGATAACGCTCTGCCACTGGCGCACCAGCTCCGGCTCGCGGTCGTCCAGCAGATTCGGCTGGAGATCGGCGGCGACCCACCCGAGTTTCTTCATCTTCTTGTAGTACTTGTCGCTCCAGTGGATGATAGCCAGCAGGTTGTCGGCAGGGATTTCGGGGTCATCGATCATGCTGACGAGGAAATCGTGCATCATGCGATGGTAAATGTCCGTATAGGTCTTGTAGATCTTCCATTTCTTGGGAACCAGGTTCTGCATGCCTTGTTGGACAGTGTAAAGATCATTGAAGAACCAGCGGAAGCTCTTCTCCAGGCCGTCGGGATTATCGTAGAACTTGTCCTTAGTCTGTTCGAACTGATTTTGCGCGTACAGCTCAATGGCTTGAATGAACTTCTCCTTGTAGCCTCGAACAGTCTTCGGGCCGATATTCATCGACTTGAAGCGACTGGCCAAGTCCTTGTGGTCTTTCTGGGCCTCCTGCAAGGCCCGCACGGTGTCATCATTCTTCTCCTCGTTCATAACCACCACGGCGAGCCGCACCACCATGCTCTTATTGTCAGACTGCACCAACGGAATGAGGTTCATACACGCCGTGCCGATATGATCATCGAAAAAGTCAATCACCGAGTCCAGTCCCTGGAAGTATTCCGTCAGGGTAACTTCGCTACTGGCATCCTGAGCTTTGCGAATCTGATCCATAGCTTCATCCCGGAAATCCCGCAATCGCGAGATCTGCATATGAGCCCGCAGCAGATTCGGCTGATTCTCCAGATCCTCATCATCCTCTTTGAGCAAATTCTCCACCTCCTCGATATCGGCCCCAAAATTCTCCAGCCCCTTCTTCATCATGAGCGTCGCTTCAAAGTGCCGCTGAATCCGAGCTAGCTGGTCGATCTGCGAGAAGTCCTCCACGCTAGTCTGCGACTCGGCGCACAGCTTATCGATGCTCTGGAGCTCATCTCTGGTTTTGGATACGGACCGCTGGCCCTCGGTGAGTTGTGAAATGCTGCGCTGTACTGCCTCGAGCTGGTCACGGAGCCCTTCTCGGAGCCGGGAGTCGACCGCGGCTTTCTTGCGCCCGTATTCGGCCTTCAGAGTGTTGATTTTGTCCAGGTCCTCTGGGTGCCGAAGGATGTCTTCCAGCCGCGGCATGGTCACCGTGCCATCTGTATTGCTGGGTTGCGCCATGGTTGGGTTTGTCGAGGTGCTATCGAGGGGTCAAACAATGGCGTAGGCATCCAAGTGCCGAGTCATGTCATGCACGGCGCAGTACTTCAACCGGGGCCTTTGTATAAGAAGAGTCAAGGATCACAGCAATCACAGCACATAATCAAAGACAAGTCCGGAGCTCAAGCTGTTGTTGATCGGGGGTCGGTCTCGATGTGTCGCGCTGGCTGGATTCCGCGGCAGAAAGGCACGTGACTGTCCACCGCCCTCGTTGATTTTGAGACTCGGATTCACATTGCATCAACCTTTCAATATCTACACCACCTCAATCCACCTCTCTCATCTGTTCGTCCCTCCTCAATCAATCACTACCGGCCGGTCCAATTGTGTCCAATCCACAACCACACCCACAACCACACCCACACCCACACTCATCGCAATCCCAACTCAAAGCCAAACCCAAAATGAGCTACTTCCGAATAACCCTCCAACGCTCCGCAATCGGCCTCCCACGGCGCTCAACAGACGTCCTGAAAGCGCTCGGCCTGAAGAAGCGCTCGTGCACCGTCTTCCACCCAGTCTCGCCCTCCGTCGCGGGCCAGATCATGAGAGTCAAGGAGCTGGTGTCGGTTGAGGAAGTGCAACAACGCCTGACGAAACAGGAGGTGCATCTTGAGCGCAAGCCCGATCCGGGATATTATGTTGAGACGAAGTATCAAGATATGGACAAGGCTAGGGAGGTGTAACTGGGATTATTGGGTTGATGGGTGGATTGTGAGTGACGTGGAAATGAGAGATAAATGGGAAGGAAGGAAGGAAGCGTTCTGTACGTTATGGATGGGATGGAAAGACGATTGATTATATACCCCGGAGAGAGTGTGTGGACTTGTTGGAAGCACTAGAGGGTGGTTTTGTTCGACACTTTGCATGAAGCGCGTTTTGCTCTTTTTTTCGTTTCGGTGTTCATGTATCTTACCTCCGGCCATGTCTGCCACGAGTGGCTTTGCTCTTCTATTTCCACATACTGTACTACTATTACTTACTGAGAGACAATGAGCCAAAAATATGTGCAATCTGAGTGACGCCATGAATAACGATAGGTACACGAAACGAAACCCCTCCCTAGAGGGGAAAGCCAAACGTATAAACACACCGCGAGAGAAATGCGATTTCACTGTTGTCCCGGGGATCAGGTAGTCAGGAGGCAGGCCAACAATCTCCGACGATATACAGAATGATAATGAGAGACAGACCACTAAGCCTTGTACAGCGTGTCGAGGAAGCCTTCAGCCAAACGACTGACGATGCTCTTGTCCGGGATACTGCCGGCAACGCCATACAGCGCGGAGGTGTCGCCACGCTCCAAAATGTAGGCCTTGCCTTGTCTCTTGCGCTCCTCGGCCTTCTCCAGCTCATTTTCCACAACCGCGATCACGTCGAGGATCAGCTGGTCGACTGCAGATGCAGTGGGGATGGTGAAAGCACAGTGCATAGCGGGCGGGGACTGGAGCGCGTTGAGGTGCCAGCCCTTGGCGGACAGGTCGTCGGCGATGTCGTAGATGTCAATGGCGCCGTTCTTGCTGGCGAATGCCACGACGCTGACGGTGGGATCACCGATGACCTCGAGATGGGGTGCAATCTGCGGGTGCTCCCGGATAGCAGACTCGAACTTGCGCGCGGCATTGATGATCTCCGTGCAGCTGTTGATGTAGCCGGCCTCGCCGACGCTCATCAGACTGGCCCAGCAGCCGGCGATCAAGGCGCCGGGGCGTGAGCCGGCAATAGACGGAGATGCGTAAACGCCGCCGGACCAGTCGGGGTAGATGAAGTACTGGTGGCTGCGATATGTCTTGTTGCGGTAGAGCAAGACAGAGTTACCCTTGGGCGCGAAGCCGTACTTGTGCGTGTCAACGCTGATGCTGGTGACACCGGGCTGGCGGAAGTCAAAGCCACCCTCTTCCTCGTACGGCGACGGGAAACCGGCCTTCTTGAGATGGGCAATGACGAACGATCCGAGACAGCAGTCCACATGAAGAGGGATCTTGTACTTGGTCGCGAGCCGGGAAAGAGCGGGGATGTCATCGACAATACCGTGGGGGAAGTTAGGTGCCGAACCAACCAGAAGCACAGTGTTGGGGTTGATCAACCGGCGAACAGCGTTGACGTCGACCTTGTAGTCGGGTGCTGGGCAAGGCACTCGGTGGAGCTTCATCTTGAAATAATTGCAGGCCTTAATGAACGCCGCGTGTGCCGTATCAGGGATGATCCTGAAGAGTCTGTCAATCACCCGCAAATGCATAACAACAATC